AAAGCACTTCATGATGACAGAAGTGAGTGCAACGGGGCGATAGTCATGTAGTTCAGTTACCTTTGCTCTCTTGGGTACAGGAACAATGGTGGCCATCTTGAAGCAAGTGGGGACAGCAGACTGGGATAGGGAGAGATTGAATATTTCCGTAAACACACCAGCCAGCTGGTCTGCGCATGCTCTGAGGACGCGGCTAGGGATGCCGTCTGGGCCAGCAGCCTTGCGGGGGTTAACACGCTTAAATGTCTTACTCACGTCGGCCATGGAGAAGGAGAGCCCACAGTCCTTGGTATCGGGCCACTTCGGTGGCACTGTATTATCCTCAAAGCGGGCGAAGAAGGTGTTTAGCTTGTCCGGAAGCAAGACGTCGATGTCGGCGACGTGGCTGGTTTTCCTTTTGTAGTCCGTGATTGTCTGTAGACCCAGCCACATACGTCACGTGTCTGAGCCGTTGAATTGCGACTCCACTTTGTCTCTATACTGATGTTTTGCCTGTTTAATTGCCTTGCGGAGTGAGTAGCAAACACTGTTTGTATTCTGCCGTATTCCCAGTCACCTTGCCATGGTTAAATGCGGTGGTTCGCGCTTTCAGTTTTGCGTGAATGCTGCCATCTATCCACGGTTTCTGGTTAGGGTATGTTTTAATAGTCACAGTGGGCACAACATCTCCTATACACTTCCTGATAAACTCAGTCACCGTTTCAGTGTATTCGTCTAAATTATTTTTGCAAGCTACCCGGAACATATCCCAGTCCGTGTGATCAAAACAATCTTGAAGTGTGGATTCCGATTGGTCAGACCAGCGTTGAATAGTCCTTAGCACAGGTACAGTCTGTCATTTAACATCGTTTTACCGAACAAGGCTATATTGATACATCATTGTTGAATGCAGAACAAATCAAGTAGCCATGCTAGTACTCTGCTGGCAGTTAATTGAGTTTACAGCGGAAAGAAGTTTATCTTGTTGCCAAAAACAAAATAATCTGTTCTCATTGTGCACACCAGTCTTTAGCTGCACACTGTGTCCACAATGACTCTCGTAACAGAGACGAGATAAAAATAAGAACATGGGAGGAAAGAGATAATTTGATAGAGGGATTGGATAGGAGGACAGAAGAGGGAGGGTGATGAGGGACCACTGTGGGAAGAGAGGAAACGGGGGTTGAGAGAGAGACTGACAGAAAGGGAGGGAGAGGTAGGAGAGAGATGGATAGAGAGAGAGGGTCAGACAGAAGCAAAGGAAAAGGGATGGAATAGGAGAAGAATTAAGAGGAGTAGAGAAAGAAGAAGAAGAAGAAGCTCCTCTCTTCTCCTGTGCCCTGTGGGGAGTTAGGAGTTAGTGAAAAAGTGAACGGACTGAGCAGTAATTGTATGTGATGAAACAGAGTATTAGCAAATCTTTGTATTATTATATTGACAAGATAGTCGAGTGAGCGCTCTAACAACGGAAATACATGTCCTCAAAGATGGAAGGCAGGTGGGAGGAAGCAAGAGCAGGTGGGACCAGTCTAGCCAATGAGAGGGCAGAAAGTGAACAACAGGCACAACGGTGATATAAAGTAGTTTTTTATTTTTTATTGACGAAATGCCACGTGCGTCCACGTATATCAGTCCATTCATAACAACCTAAACATTACGAAACTTCTATTTGATCAAATAAGCCTCACGTAGCAAATTAGCAATTACATTTTTTGTTGGCCAAATTCAACACTCATTGCCCTCCAAAAACACATCTCTGGTGGGAAAATGAGCATATTGTTTTTATGCAGATTTTAGAATATTCGCATTAAAATCTGTCACCAATTGGATAGAAACCTGCTACAGACACAAAAAGATCTAACCTTGTCTAGCGTATGTTTTCTCTTTAATTTGGGAAGTTTACTGACAAAGTTGCTGTTTACTTTAGGCTTGTTGTGACATTTATTATCCAACGTACTGGTTAAACCCAGTTTCCATCCAACCTTTTTATGCGAGTAAAGTACAACATGTCACGACAGGCCAATTTTGTCGGTAAACGTATTAAATGTCGACAAAAAAAAATACGCTACACAAGATGGGATCGTTTTGTGTCTGTAAAATTAAATATGCAGGAAATGTTGGTGGAAATGCTTTTATACGCAAATATTGATATAATAGCCATCATATTGAAGTAAACTTGGAGTCACACAATGACATGTTGCATGTCCTCCCACTACGACTCGGGAAAGCCTGCAGTTTATTAGGCTACAGATTAAATAAATTATGTTGAACTTCACAGGGTGGTGAAAGTGAAAGGTGAGGAGCTTGATGCTCCTTTTCAATAAATATTAAGGGTCTTATTCTGGTGACATGATGATCGATGCTTGCCTGCCATTTGACAAATACAAATAATTTAGCTCTTTTGTCCATAATGATCTCATCATGTAGGCTATACCCGCACTGTATCTGCGAGCTGTGGGCACATTAGCAATAAAGGGAACTAATTCAAGACTGTTGGAAAAGCATTCCAGGTGAAGCTGGTTGAAAGAATGCCAAGAGCTGTCATCAAGGCAAAGGGAGGCTATTTGAAAAATCTCAAATATAAAATATATTATGATTTGTTTAACACTTTTTTGGTTACTACATGATTCCATATGTGTTATTTCATAGTTTTGATGTCTTTACTATTATTCTACAATGTAAAAAACAATGTAGAAAAACCCTTGAATGAGTAGGTGTGTCCAAACTTTTGACTGGTACTGTATATATATTGCAATACATATCGTATCGCAATACATATCGTATCAGCACCTAAGTATCGTGATAATATTATATTGTGAGGTCCCTGGCAATTCCTACTCTCTAACGGACATCATCCCGTCCTCTATGTTCATTCCTCCAGCTCTCCTCCCACTCCAGCTTCCAATGGTCTTTGACTTCCTATGGTTGTAGTAAGAATCTGTGTATCATATCCAGTATATCATATCACACTTCAGAGAAAACATAAAGAAAACATCATTATAAACTGGGTGGTTCGAGCCCTGAATGCTGATTGGCTAACAGCCGTGGTATATCAGACCGTATACCACGGTCATGACAAAACATTTATTTTTACTGCTCTAATTACGTTGGTAACCAGTTTTATAATAGCAATAAGGCACCTTGGGGGTTTGTGGTATATTGCCAATATACCACGGCTAAGGGCTGTATCCAGGCACTGCGTTGCGTCGTGCATATACCACACCATATACCACACTCTCTCGTGCCTTATTGCTTAAACATAAACCATAAGAAATAAGTTTTCAATTACACTTTCAATTTTACAATTGCACTTTATTTGATATTGTTCCCTCTGTTTAAAACAGGTTGACCTACTGACTTTAAACTTGTTGCAAACATTTTGTAGATCTGGCCCTTTCCGGGGGAAAGACAGAGCAAAGACATGCAACAACAACACCAAATCTATTTAACTCATCTCCTTCATTAAGCCATTAAGTAGTGAGAGAGCGAGGGATTTGTTTGTTTATTTGTGTAATTGCCTCATCCCTAATGCATCCCTCTTGTCCTGTAATTCACAAACAGAGGAATTAGTCAAAGTCATTTATTGTCTTCTCCAAGGTTACGCTTTATTTGGTGTTACAGATGAACTAGTTAAATCAGACAAAACCAGAGGCCATAGGGCAGGGTTCCCCAAATTGCGGCCCATGGGCCAGATTTTATTTGGCCCCCCAAGTTTGTATTTTTGTATTTTCTTTTGTTGTTGGACATAAAATACTTTAAAAACAGAAAAGTGATTTTGGAAATCTGTTCCAAAGTATTTCCACGCATAATAGAGAGATATGTGATCGTTTACAAATGTAAGCAAGGTTTGAAATGATTATGTTTTGGTCAAATATGATATCTGTTTGGGCTTCTTGCGGTCAATTTGCAGTCTAAAAATTATTTGTAAATATGTTCCGGCCCCCTGACTATCCGCTCAAGAAAAAAACGGCCAGCAGCTGAATCAAGTTGATGATCCCTGCCATAGGGCATGATAACCTCTGTCTTCTGTTTTACTAGTGTTGATATTCGACCTGAACATTTTTACCATCAGCTTACAGGAGAGGCAGGGAATCCATTTTGTTTCATGAGATGAACAGCGGTGATATTTAGAACATGTCTCTCCACCAGTGCTCAATGGTCTCCGTGACCCCCATTGATTTTTGATTGTGATTAATTTAATTTAAATTTGACATACAGCTAGTCTGACCTTCTAGGCTTAATGAAAAGCATGTTGTTCATTACACATTTTATTTCCACAGTCTTACATTGATTAATGGATTCATTTTGATGGATTTCTTTTTTTCTCTCGTTATCATCACACAGTACCGAGAGTCGAGAGATAAGCGCAGCTGTAATTTCCAGTGTGTTGATAAGCCATCGTATCTCACATAGCTTCTCCCCAGTGTTACTGAATTCATTGATCATACAAGGTAGAGCTGACATTTTCATATCGGAGTGTTGAACAGTAATTTATGATTGCATAAGAGATGTGTAGGTACCATTTCGTTTTGCACACCTTTTAAACTACATGCACCATCTGTGAACTCTGACTCACTCCATAAAATACCTTTGATAAGCCCAAAGGAATGTTGCCAGAACATCTCTATAAAAGCTATAGGTGTATTTGACACACAGGAGGTTGGTGGCACCTTAATTGGGGAGGACAGGCTTGTGGTAATGGCTGGAGCGGAATAAGTTTAATGGTATCAAATACATCAGACACATGGTTTCAATGTGTTTGATTGCGTTCGCTCCATTCCGGCCATTATTATGAGCCGTCCTCCCCTCAGCAGCCTCCACTGATTTGACAGAAGAGGGCAACTTCACCCACCTCGATGTATGGAGCTGAGCTCACGTTATTGTACCGAATCATTTATCTATTGGACCAACAGGTGTATTTGTACAGAAACATAAAAGGACGCTTTGCCCAAAAGGCATACTGCTCTCTATTATACTCCAAGGCCTTGTGTTGGCCTTTATGTGAAAAGCATCTTAGAAGGATGCCGACTGTATGGTTGATGTGCAGACAGTGCAGTCAAGCGAGTGTCCGTGTCTGACTGTCTGTGTAGGGTGAAGGTCTCTCTCTGTGTTCTGTGACCGTGCTGTTATGTTTGCTATGTAGCCCCTGGGAGTTATTGTTGTGTGTTCCTTTTGAGTCACCGTAGATGTCCTACGGGGGCCACCGTACCTTGGCTAAACAGTTATTGTTATGCTAGCTCACGAATGTGAGGATGTTAGAGTTGTAGCTAATAAACCCGAGCCGTTCATAAATAACTAAGTCTTGTTCTTCCTGCATAACATTGGTGATGATAACACATGCAGTTTGTTTGCCTGTGGAGAGGTTGTTGTCATCTCTGTTGTGGCTTTTTAAGGGTCAGCCGGCTGAGGGAAGCTGAGTGAAGTTCAAGCTACAGCGATCGTCTCAGTTGTGGTTATGGAAACTCTTTGCGCTTTGTGACCGTATGGAAGAAGTGTAGTGTGGTCAGCCCTGTAGTGTGGGTCAGCCCTGTAGTGTGGGTCAGCCCTGTAGTGTAGTCAGCCCTGTAGAGGAGGGGAGAGGGAGGGGGACAGAGAGAGGAGAGCGTCTCAGGGCTGACTCTATAATTAGAGAGATGACTTCTCTGTTTGGTCAGGGGGAGAGGACACCACTCACTCCTCTCAACCCACTGGCATTGTTCAATTGTCACTGAGATATTGTGCTGCACTTTGTATGGGCCTCAAGTCAAGTCACAACTGTCCCTACACACACATATACACATTCATGCACACACACACACAAATGCTCACACACATTGTCCTCCGCTCATCCGTAACCGATACCCTATATTGTGGTTCCCTCTTGACTGTCACTCCATCTGTTGGAGAATTGAAAAAACAAAATATTCAGCTGTGGCTGGAAATCATAGCCCAGACCTACTCTGTCATATAGCTGTTTTATTTGATTCTTGTTTGTTTTGCTTTTTCAAGTGCTTTGAGATTCTTTATGTAATGAAAAGAGAATAATTATTATATTCCCCCTAGGTTCCCATGACTCCTTCAGTTTCTATATAGACGAGTCCTCTCCAGTGGGTCCTGAGCAGACTGACGCCGTCCAGAACTTTGTGTCCGTCTTCGGCACGGTGGCCAAGAAGCTGATGCGTAAATGGCTGGCCACTCAGACTATGAACTTCTCCAGCCAGCTGGAGGCCGGCGTCCGCTTCTTTGACCTGCGTATCTCCACCAAGCCCCGGGACCCAGACAACGAGCTCTTCTTCGCTCACGGTCTCTTCAGCGCCACGGTGAATATAATTATTTCCTACGACTTTATTTCACCCCATGGAACCTCAGGTGTTTTTCCTGACCACCTGACCTGACCAGAAAGAAAACTCTGGGCCCTAGTTATTGTCTATACAGGTCAAGAGGTCAGGAAAAACTCTGGACCTTATTCAGTGGGTACAGTATGACTGGTCTGACACTATCTCTGCTCCCCTGTGGGGTATGTGTTGTGCTTCCAGGTGAGAGAAGGCCTGGAGCAGATCAGCTCCTTCCTGTCAGCCCATGCCAGAGAGGTCGTGTTCCTGGACTTTAACCACTTCTACGGGGTTCAGAACCTGCACCATGAGAAGTTGGTCTCAATGCTGAGAGACGTGTTCGGGGAGAAACTCTGCCCCGTCGTCTTCGCTCAGGAGGTAAGATACTCTACTGTACAAACTAACACCTTCAATCTCTGTGCTCCCTCAAGAGTATATGGTGTCCACCTTGGTTCCACAGCCCTATGGCCCTGGAAGTTCCTAAAGACAAAACCCCTCCCTCCACTCCTCCCTCTCTCTAGGTGAGTCTCCAGTACCTGTGGGAGAAAGAGTACCAGGTCTTGGTGTTCTACCACAGTCCTATGGCCCTGGAAGTGCCATTTCTATGGCCTGGTCAGATGATGCCTGCTCCCTGGGCCAACACCACTGACCCTGAAAAGCTGATCCAGTTCCTCCAGGCCTCTGTGGCTGACCGCAGGTCTGTCTGGCCCTGTATCTTTCACCTATCTGTCTTTTCCTGGAAAGTGTGTTAAACCTTTAGGAAAAGCACTTGCAGATGTAGGCTCTTAATTTGATCACCCTGTTGCAGGAGAACATTACTGCAATGCAGGAAATGTAAAACTTGTAGTGTATTTGAGGTTTAAAAAGGCTTCTGAAATGTCAGACTTGATTTTCCTTTACAAAAAAATGTATCAACCCCTACAAAAATGTCTATGAATTAAAATCCACATAATAATTCACATTTCCTGTTGCTGCAGGATGATCTTCCTGATGTAGAAAACTGGCTGAAATTAAGATCCTACTTGCATCTTTAATTGTGCCTGTATAGTAAAGTTTGATGTGATTTCTGTAATGGCAGGAGGAAGGGAACATTCTTCGTCTCCCAAGTGGTCCTCACACCTAAGGCCAGCACCGTCATGAAAGGAGTAGCCAGCGGACTGAGGGAGACCATTACAGAAAGGTGAGTTGGTTTGTTTTTCTCTCAGTCTGTGTTTGTGTGTGTGTGTGTATGTGTGCGGTTATAAAGCAAATTTGTGAGGTATTTCATGTTCAACGCGAGAGAGAAATTGAGATGAGAAATAACACACACACACACACTATGAGTCACTGTGGCAAAAGGTATATGTATCTTCAGGAATATGACTCGGCCTCACTTGCCCCATGATGACAACGCTGTAGTGTTCGCTGCGTTTTCCTCCCTGTTTCTTTCTTCTCTTTTTTCCCTCTATATCCTCTATTTTCCTCCATCCTTCCCATTTCATTGCTTGGAGATGAAATATTCAATATTTTGTTCAATAACCATGCTGACTTGTATAATATAATATTTTCATCAATTGCGAACTAATTCCAATTGATCTCAAGAAGAACATTGCACATTGTTCAATCGACTGTAAACCCATTCAAATCCAGGACTGTAGGATTGTAACTAGTCTGACATAGCTTTGCCACAGCAGACACCAGCTATACAGATGTAGGATCTGAATTTGATCACGCTGTTGCAGGAGAACTTTCCTGCAATGGCAGAAATGTAAAACTTGTATTGTATTTGAGGTTTAAAAAGGCTTCTGAAGTTTGTAGTTTTCACTTTTCCCTTACGAAAAATGTATCAACCCCTACATATATTTCCATTAATTATAATCCACATAATTATTCACATTTCCTGTTGCTGCAGGATAATTTTCCTGCTGTAGCAAACTGGCTCAAATTAAGATCCTACATCTGTACAGAGTATATAATAATATCTCGCCACCCACTTGATTGCACCCAGCAGTCTGTCAGACAGCGCAGACAGCCCTTATCATGCTGACTCATACTGGCCCTTAACAGGTCTAGCTGCTCGCCAGCCAGCTCACTGTTACACCAGCCAACTGTGACTCATCAAACAGTACATACCCCTCTCTCTCTCTCTGTCGCTCTGTCTCTCTCTCGCTCTGTCACTCTCTCTCACTCTGTCTCCTTTTCCTTAGCCCCATCCTATTCACCGGCTATGCATAACACTTATAATGCACAAAATACAAAAATACAGAGATGCAACTGTGTGTGTGTACATGTACTCCCCTGCAGGGCTCTTCCAAGTATGATGCTGTGGATCCGGGCCCAGAGGCCAGGAGAAAGCGGCATCAACATCATCACAGCTGACTTCGTGGAGCTGGGAGACTTCATCAGCGCTGTCATTACGCTCAACTACCATATGGATGAGGAGGAGGAAAACGCCACCTGAGACTGATAGACAGGGGGTGCCAGAGAGTTAAGTCCTCAGCTCAGTCTCACTTTCTCTTTGGTGTTCATTTTCAGGAGAGGCGTCCCTCTGACTTATATAGGGCTATCAGAGTTTACAGAGGAAGGGAGAGAGGGAGGGAGAGAGAGAGAGAGAGAAGAAGGGGATGTTAAGAGAGGAGGAGAAAGGGAGAATGGACTTTGGTGCTCGGTTAGAGCGCCGAAAGTGAGTGAGAAATGTTTGGTTTTATCTGTTTTGGGGGTCAAAAGGGCAATTGTTTTTTAACGACGCTTCGCTTCGCTTCGCTTCACATCTGCTGTAACGATAACTGCTTCTATCCTCCAATCACACAAGCTCGTGTTTCTGGCATTTCCATTTCTTGTGAGGCTTAGGCTAGCTTATTAGCATATTCTACAGACATAAATGTTCTTCGTATTTTAGTGACAGTGATGGCTAACCTACATCAAAACTCATTTTCATTAGTGCCGGTAATACATCTGATTGTCGTCAACCTGATTAGCATGTCAACTACTCACACATAGCTGTAGAACTTACTTTACGATGGATGGATGGATTGGTTGACTGATAGAGCTTCCCCAATAGTTATTATTATAGTTTATTGATCTCTTTCAAAATGTCTTGACAATTTTGTCTCTGTATCAGTCCTGTCACCATAATGCGTATATTGATAACTTCTCCCTGCAGTACTTTGATTTAGCTCCTAGACCACCTGTAACAGCACTTTCCCTATGTGACAGATTGCCAGACAGATTGATATTTGTGTGTCTTTTGATTGATTGCCTCTCTCGAGTGCCCTCTGTAGGGTATCGTAGATCAGTGTTTCCCAACCCTGGTCCTCCAGTACCCACAACAGTACACATTTGTATTGTAACCCTGGACAAGCACACCTGATTCAACTTGTCAACTAATCATCAAGTCCTCAATGAGTTGAATGAGGTGTGTTTGTCAAGGGCTACAACAAACTGTGTACTGTTGGGGTTACTGGAGGACCAGGGTTGGGAAACACTGTTGTAGATTACCATAAAACAGGTTTCATTTCATGTTTCTCGTAATGGCTTGATCTCATGTAGGTGTCTGTTGTACTGAAATATTCACCACATTAGTTCATTTTTTTTTTTTCATTGCACTTTTCTTCTGTTTTGGTAGATCTGTAGACTGTGAGCTCATCTCATCCTCTATTCTATACAAGCTCATTTACTTGTATAGAATAGAATAGCTATCTGTTGCTTTACTTTTACCCATGTGTTTGCTTGCTTTTTTGCATTCAATCTAGTAGAAAGATGTTTACCTTGCTTTGCTCTGCACCTATTCAGGACAAACTGTAAATGCTCAGCTACGAAGTGGCACTTGCGGCGTAGTGAAGAATACAATAATAAAACATGTATCAGATTTATTTTGCTAAAATGTGTTTTGCAAATTATGCAAGAACTTCGCATATATATCAAAAGCTTTGCCTCATTTCTCTCCCTCAAAAATGTTACGATTATTGTTGCATCTTTTACAGAGAATGTATTCTGAGGAAAATTGTTATGTAAACTAATATGATTATTGTGAACCAAAAAAGAAGGAACTGTTACATTTTGAATATGTGAATGTGTGTCTTGTACGTAAATGTGCCATTTCCAACTTTTTTCAGTGTGTGTGTGTGTGTGTGTGTGTACGTGTGTTTTTACGTAAGAGAGTGACAGACAGAGAGGGTGAGAGACACACCAAGAGAGAAAGAGAGACAGAGAGTAAGGATTTAATTTAGTGTTTGTGTGTTTTGTGTGTATAGGTCAGAGGTGTGAAAATGTTCATACGATTTGTATGTGTCAATGACTTCATCCTTATAAAATATATTCTAAGATTAAGTCATATCTTGTGAAAGTGTGTATATAAAGTGTAATGGATTTACCGCCATATCATTGTTTAATGAAAATGAATGACAAGAATTATCCACAAGAAAGGCTTCTACAGAAATATCTCAGTTGTAATAACTCAATACAAGTTTTGTCCATATCTCTGACAGTCAAATACACTTCAAAAATATATATTTTTTGTAACTAATTAACTATGTGCAGGAATCAAAATATATTTGTAAATATATTGCTTGTCACTTAGTGGATTAATTAATTTTGGATGCTATCCTAACCTGACTATAACTACTTGAGTTGTTTGTGTTCATCTCAAGTAAGAAAATCCTCAAGACCTTTACAACTTATCACCAAAATGTGTACACTGCAAACATGATAAGAGTTATGATATTCAATAACTAAAACAATTATATTTAGTCCAATGTTTTGCTTCAACTCTGAGACGGTAATATACCTATCCAATAAACTAGAGCAACACACAATGTAAGAAGACACCTACATACATGTGTTTACTTGTAAAGATTTATGATTTATAAGTCATCTAATGTTGATATAATTGTACCCTACTTCATCCATATTGTAGTCCTTACCTTTCAGTTCCTCTATGTCTATATGTGGTGTGATGATGAGTCCATTGCTGTAAAATTGTTGTAAAGACCAAACCTTGTGTGTTGCAATTAAACGGAAGATGTCTAATCAAATAAAGCTTCTATGCCTGTACAATATGTCTGTGACTCTCTGTGATCCTATTATTATTATTTCACATGGGAGGGAAAGATAAAAGGGACTTCTGAGCTGAGTGACTGACTCCGACTGCTTACAATTAAATTGTTCACATCGGAAGCATATCTCCAGATTTGCCTTGACTTTCTACCTACTCAAAAGAGCCTCCAGGAACCATCCTAGCTGGTTACCAGGGTGACCAGGAGAGGCACATGCTGTGACTTTGTTGTTGTGGTGTGTTCCCTCTAATCTCCACCCCGCCGTACCAATCGGCAGCCAGGTGTGTTTATCAACCACTTATGAATATGAACTCCTAGCGGACAAGAAAGAGTCCTGACTGTTTACTGATGCACTGGCCCTGGTTGTTTTTGTGTTTGTGTACATGTACGTTTGTCCGTGCGCATGTGTGTTTCTAAATCTCTCTAAATACAGCCCTTTCAGTAAAGCATGTGCTCAGTAATGAAGCTGTGGCGGGTTATGCTAGGCTACCAGGAACTTACAGGACAGCTGAATGCAACACAGTGAGGACCAATCCCTTCCTTCCACTTGTCTGCAGCCATACTGTTAAAGGAAACAAGGGCGTTTCAGTTCACAAAGTAAATTCACCTCTCCTGTACTGTAACACTTCAACCTTGAACAAAACTGTCACATGCTCATCTGTGTCTTTTGGTGCAGATATACAGTATCTAACCCTCACTGGAGGATGTGTGGGCGATATTAAAATGGATATTAGGTTTCAGTCAGATACCTACGTTAATCCAACCTCTCCAGGTAATCCATGTTATTTTCTCCAGTGGAGGCAGGAGATCCTGCCTTAGGGGTGGATGCTTGAGCCGAGGTGTTAAAATAAGTGAGTGAGTGAGTGAGAGGGTGATTGTGGCAGGGGATGAAGGAAAAGAGAATGTGTTGGGCGGAGATATTGTTAGAAGAGGGGGGATGAGAGAACCAGGTTAACCCCCTAGAGTCGATTGACACACCGGTGCATCAATCTAAGTAACAATACAAAAAAAAACATCAAAATATGTCAGTTTAAGCTAGAAATATTGGATGCATCCGCTGATATCGCATTTCCGCATCTGCAGTGAAAGGTGGCAGAGCTAGAGCTGTGTTTGTCAGACCATAAGACATCCCGAAAATCTGTCTTCTCATGAAAACGTGTGTGTTGCGTCCGAACGGTTTGACCTACCGTTTTGCTCTACGACCCCCACAAGTGTCACGGGACTCATCTGAAGGAAACCGATACCATTACCTTCAGATGACAGTCTCAGAATGTCCTTGAGTTGGCCCAGCCACTGAACGGAAGCAGGAAGGTAATTTTGTGCCTACCCAAAAAAGGGGTTAAATATGTGTGTGTGTGTGTGTGTGTGTATATATATATATATATATATATATTTCCTGAGCTTCCTTGTGTTATTTCATAATTTTGATGTCTTCACTATTATTCTACAATGTAGAAAATAGTCAAATAAAGAAAAACCCTGGAATGAGTAGGTGTGTCCAAACTTTTGACTGGTACTGTAAATCTAAGGTACTTTGCACTCTAAAGTAGGTTCTCATCAAGAATTTGCCTGTATTTGGCGCCATTCATTGTTCCCCCTATCCTTACTAGTGTCCCAGTTCCTGCCGCTGAAAAGCATCCCCATAGCATGATGCTGCCACCACCATGCTTCACGATAGGGATGGTGTTAGAAGTGTGATGAGCTTCTTTTTTCAATTTCCCAATGATGGAGACCATTGTGCTCTTGGAAACTTTCAACAGTCTAGAAATAGTTTTATACCCTTCCCCAGATACCACATATACCTCATCACAATTCTATCTCGGCAATCTACGGACAGTTCCTTGGACTTCATGGTATAATTTCTGCTCTGACATGCACTGTCAGCTGTGGGACCTTATATAGACAGGTGTGTTCCGTTCTAAATTATGTCCAAACAATTGAATTGGCCACAGTTGGACTCAAGTTGTAATGACGTCTTAAGGATGATCAAAGGAAATTGGATGCACCTGTGCACAATTTGGAGTCTCATAGCAAAGGGGTGTGAATACTTACGGAAATGAGATATTTCTGTATATAAAAACATGTTTTAACTTTGTCGTTATGGGGTACTGTGTGTAGATGGGTATTTATTTTATTTTATCCATTTTGAATTCAGGCTGTAACGCAACAAAAATTGAAATAAGTCAAGGGCAAGGGGTATGAATACTTTCTGAAGGCACTGTAGCTGAGTCACATCACACGCTACACATAAGTCTACATTCAGGGTGAAATTGGGAATTCAGAGGGTAAGAATTAGTTTTTTAGGCTAACCCCATAGAGAATGATAGAGGTCTCTAGTGGCCAAAAGGCAGTTTTAGCATGGTCAGCGCCATTGAGGGCTTCCAACATGCTTCCGCCATTTTAAAGCAGTCAAAGTAGTCAACTGGGTGGAGATTCCTATGGGTTGTAGCCTCAAAGACACTGCCCATGCTGTCACAGATACTATAATGGCACAGATATAAAGATGAGTCCTCTATCTCTATGGCTAACCCTAACAACTTCATGTCCACTCTCCAGCTCAACCCAAAGCCTAGCTATAACCCTAGCTTCATATCCACTTCCCAGCTCAACCCTAACCCTAGCCATAACCCTAACCCTAGCCCTAACCTTAACCCCTAACCCTAGCCACAACCCTAACCCTAACCTAGCCATAACCCTGAACCAGTTACAGTGTATGACAGACAGACAGACAGACAGACAGACAGACACACAGACAGACAGACAGACAGACAGACAGACAGACAGACAGACAGACATACTGACAGACTGAAAGACAGGCAGGCAGGAAGGAAGACAGACTGCCACATGGACGGACGGACGGACGGACGGACGGACAGACAGACAGACAGACAGACAGACAGACAGACAGACAGACAGACAGACAGACAGACACAGACAGACAGACAGACTGACTGACTGACTGACTGACTGACTGACTGACTGACTGACTGACTGACTGACTGACTGACTTACTTACTTACTTACTTACTTACTTACTTACTTACTTACTTACTTTCAGACAGACTGCCAGCCAGACTGCCAGCCAGACAGACTGATGGTTATCCAAAGGGGATACATTCACAACCCTAGTCAAATATGAGATGCATATTCCAGTAGAGGGTTAGAGAGTTTCCACCTTCTTATTCAGAGCAACCATTATACTGGCAGCCTGCAGGGGATAGATATGCATACAAACTTGCCAGCTCCCTCCTCCTTCAGGGACACACTGACAGCTGATCTATGTCCACAATTATAAGTGGATGAAGTTTCCGCACACTTGCACATTCCAGTACGCTCCCTCCATAACTCAGCAGAGGATCCATCCTGGGTTTCTCTATGGAGGCTTTTATCAAAACTATTCAAGGAGTGTAATTCTTCAATCCATGAGTAATTATCAGTTTAGAGTGTAGGACTTGGCAAACACTGTTATGCATGCGTATGTGTGTCTGTTTGTGTGTGTGTGCGTGTGTGCGTGTGTGTGTGCGTGTGTGTCTGTAGCTTGGAGTTAAAGATCCACAGTGGTCGAACCTTGTCACATGAAAACTCTGTATATTTAAAGGTAGATTCAACAATATGACATCATCATACACAGCAGGACAACTTCCTTCTTACAGGCGTCAACAACAACAGCACAATTCAAACCAGAAAAGGCAACTTTGTCACATACATATTTGACCCAGCACACTGTAATTGATGGAGATGCCAGCAGTGCCAGACATGCGAGGGTGAAACAGCTCTCTGTTGCCCTCCAGTGTTTCTTAGATTCTATGTCTTATCTCAGGCAGCAAATGTATGGAGCCAGGCACATACACTTGGACCATTGTCGATTAATAGTATAAAACTGATTCCTCTCTCTGTGTTCTTTCCCTTGTCTGCACTGACAAATGAGAACTGGGAAGGTGAACTACCTACTTGATATCCTCCATATTGCTTAACCAAATTCTCTATTTTCAGATCAGTGCAGATAAGGAGCAGAAGAGGAAACCACTTTAGATTGTTTCTGTTTTAGAATTATAGTTTTATTATCCTGGGGTCACAAAGAGAGAGGTTTTGGCAGAAAAACTGTGCTGCAATACTGTATGTTATCCTTCTCCACAGGAATCTCTCTCTCTCTTTTTGTCCCACACATTGAAAATAAACATCCTAGTTCCTTGGAACTGAGAAAATAAAGTTCCTTACAAGAATCTCTTCCTTAGCGGGAAGGGGTCATATATTTATCTTTGTGTGTGTGTGTGTGTGTGTGTGTGTGTGTGTGTGTGTGTGAGAGAGAGAGAGAGAGAGAGAGAGAGAGAGAGAGAGAGAGAGAGAGAGAGAGAGAGAGAGAGAGAGAGAGAGAGAGAGAGAGAGAGAGAGAGAGAGAGAGAGAGAAATATAATACTCTGGAATGTCCACAGCCACAGAAAGCTCATGCAAACTCTCAACATGAAGGTAAGATGATTCACATTGATACACTATTTACTCCTTTTAATATACTCAGTTGATTTCTAAGCAGGTAAAAACAATATTGCTGTGTAGTCGTTAGGGATTTAGGCTCAGGCTGTTGTAAAATACAAACAACATTTAATTGCAGCATTCCTCTCCTCTCCTTAGGATCGTCTGTCAGTCTCTCTGATCTGTCTGCCATGGCTCTTCTTTGGGATGATCTCACCCAGTAATTGTGTGGAGCCAGTGCATTGTCAGTGGGGATCCTACGGCGAGTGGTCAGAGTGTGACGGCTGCACTAAAACACAGGTCAGGAACCAAACCAATTATCCGAAGTCATGCCTGTGAGTTCCACTGGACTTTATTCATGAACAGTGGTGGAAAAAGTACTCAATTGTCATACTTGAGTAAAAGTAAAAATACCTTAATAGAAAATGACTCAAGTAAAAGTGAAAGTCACCCAGTAAAATACTACTTGAGTAAACATCTAAAAGTATTTGGTTTTAAATATACTTAAGTATCAAAAGTAAATGGAATTACTAAAATGTACTTAACTATCAAAAGTAAAAGTAAAAGTATAAACCATTTCAAATTCCTTATATTACGCAAACCAGACGGCACAATTTTCTAGTCTTTTTTTATTGACGGATAGCCAGGGGCACACTCCAACACTCAGACATCATTTACAAACGAAGCATTTGTGTTTAGTGAGTCCGCCAGATCAGAGGCAGTAGGGATGACCAGGGATGTTCTCTTGATAAGTGTGTGGACCATTTTCCTGTCAAAATGTAACGTGTACTTTTGGGTGTCAGGGAAAATGTATGGAGTAAAAAGTACATTCTATTCTTTAGGAATGTAATGAAGTAAAAGTAAAAGTTGGCAAAAATAAAAATAGGAAAGTGAAGTACAGATACCCCAAAAAAACTACTTAAGTAGTACTTTAAAGTATTTTTACTTAATTACTTTACACCACTGTTCATGAATGGCAACCAGGTAACATACAGTGTATTTCCCTTTATGTTGGGGTATATTGGTATGTTTCAGTCTAGGACCCGTGCCATGGTGGTGTATGCCCAGTTTGGGGGGAACCCATGCAGTGGAGGGGCCACTCAGACCCAGCCCTGTGAGACTGCTCGAGGCTGCCCCCTGAAGGAGGGCTGTGGAGGGAGGTTCCGCTGCCGCTCAGGTAATTGAATCAAACTTTATTAACAATGCATTTAAAATCCTCAGTACGTTTTACAACAAAATGTAAAATATAGTCAGTAAGAAAAACGTTGAGCACAGAACATGGAGTACTAACGTGCGTGCGCATGTGTGTTTCCTGTGTGCTACAGGGAAGTGTATCAGTCAGTCTATGGTGTGTAATGGAGATCAGGACTGTGAGGAAGACAACCAGGATGAACTGAAGTGTGACCCAGACAAGACATTCCCTGTGTGTAACAATGACAAACCCCCACCCAATGTTGAGCAACTAGGACTGGGGTAAGAGCCCATCTATCTTTCTCTCCCTCCTCCCTCCCCCTGTCCCCCCCCCCCTCCCTCCCTCTCTCTCTCTCTCTCTCTCTCTCTCTCTCTCTCTCTCTCTCTCTCTCTCTCTCTCTCTCTCTCTCTCTCTCTCAATTCAATTTAAGGGCTTTATTGGCATGGGAAACATATGTTAACATTGCCAAAGCAAGTGAAGTAGATAGTAAACATCTCTCTCTCTCTCTCTCTCTCTCTCTCTCTCTCTCTCTCTCTCTCTCTCTCTCTCTCTCTCATTCTCTCTCTCACGCACACACACACACAATCCTGGGCATCTGTGGTGATGTGCGTTGCCTTCTTGAATTTCCAGGTTTGATGCAGTGACAGGAAAACAGAGAGGAAGTGTGATCAACACTAAGAGCTATGGAGGCCAGTGCAGGACTGTCTTCAGTGGGGACAACAAGGTCCTCTACAGACTGCCCCATAGCACTCTGAGGTACAACTTTGAGGTAAAAGGTCCCACAGTTAAGTTCACATACTGGTGAAAATAAACATTTATAAAGAGAGCACATAGAAATGAATATATGTAAGAATATAAATTGGATCTGTACAGGTGAAACAGGGTGATCAAATTAAGATCCTACATCTGTATATGATTCCTATCTGTACAGGTCAAAGTTCAGAATGATTTCAGTGATGAGTTCTACACCAGCTCCTGGTCCTACGCCAAGGACATAGTCAAGAGGGAGACATTGACGGGTACATCGTCAGGATTCAACAACTTTGACTTCCATCAGACTGAGGAAAAAACACGGGTCTGTTGGATTTGTACGATGAAATGACTTCTATAAATCTTAGTTTTATTAGGAGATATGCTGAGCTTAAGAGATGCATTTTCAACAAACACCTGACCTTTGCCTTAGCAGTTCACGTGTGAGGATGACTACATTTGATTTCACATCCACTATGTTCATTGTCTTCCAGAGTTTAGAATGATTGACTCATTATTTAATCAAATGTACATCTACCTAAAACAAATATTTTCCAAAACTGTGATAAAGCTATTGTGAGATTGTCTGTTTTGGTTTGTTTTTGCTGCGTAGAGTAACCACCTGTTGGTGGTAAAGAACGACGTGGAGGTGGCTCAGTTCCAGAACAATGCCCGAGGATACCTCCCTCTGTCTGAGGAGTTCTGGAAGGTTCTGGTCACGCTCCCCAATGTATATGACTACGCTACCTATAGGACGGTGTTGAATAGGTTTGGAACCCACTACCTGTCTGAGGGGACCCTGGGCGGACACTTCCACTCCTTACTCAGCATCGACCAGGAAACAGCCAAACAGATGGGTGAGACAATTGAGGCTGAGACTGAGGCTCCAGCTGAGACTGAGGCTGTCCCAATGGCGGCACTGCAGGCATATCATTATTGTGACAACAGTAGTGGGAGTAACAGTGCAATAGCTTGAACACATCAACTCTGTTGGTTACACTGCTGGGTCCAATGGCCCAATTGGTTGGAGCATGATGCTGGCAACAGATGGTGAAGAATACTTTGAACAAAGTAAATCATAATGGTTCAGTTAAGCCGTCAGAGCTTTGGAACCAACTTGTATATTCCTACTCCTGAGTGGCGCAGTGGTCTAAGGCACTGCATCGCAGTAGAGATCCTGGTTTGAATCCAGGCTCTGTTGCAGCCGGCCGCGACCGGGAGACTCATGGGCGGCGCACAATTGGCCCTGCGTCGTCCAGGGTAGGGTAGGGAATGGCCGGCAGGGATGTAGCTCAGTTGATATAACATGGCGTTTGCAACGCCAGGGTTGTGGGTTTGATTTCCACAGGGGGCCAGTATAAAAATAAAAATAAATATTCACTAACTGTAAGTCGCTCTGGAATAGAGCGTCTGCTAAATGACTAAAATGCATATAGTTTGGTTCCAACTTTTATATAGTATAGTTTGGTTCCAACTTTTGCTTGGACACGAAAGTAATGGTGAAGGTTACAGTGTACTTGGCCAAACGAGTGTTGATTGAAGAGTTTGTGGTTGAGAGAGCACTATTGAGGATTTTTCTGTTACTCTCTTCCATCTGCATCTGCAGCCAAGGTCATGTGGAAGTATAACGAGTGTACCAAGACCAAACACTGGATTCTATTCATTTCATGGACAACAGAGAAATGTAAAAAGGATGAAAGGGAATTAACACTACCCAACCCACCATGTAAGTTTATTTAAGCAACAATGTAAAACCAAAAATGTGACGATGTACAATGTAAGATGTGACATTTTACAATGTCATATGGCTATCAAGAGATCTCTTACTGTAATTATGAAGGCTCAAGACTCAATGTAATCAAATGAATAAACAGTATTTATTGATATTTACAGTAAATATACTTTATATATTCAGTATACAGAAGCCCCTGTGGTAGCTCATCATGTAATGTAACTGTATAAGCTGCAGCTATATTCTGTAATGAAATCCTGATCACTCTAATCACTGATACCTTTATTGCTTTAATAGCCATCAATAGGTATGACACAACAATGAAGGTGGATGTGGTGGGAGGGGCCACTGCACACATCTCAGCTCTCAAGGCTATGGACCTCAACACTCCAGGTAAAAACTGGGAAATGTACAAGAACTGGGCGGAGTCTGTGCGGACCTTCCCTACAGTCATCAAACGAAAGGTGAGAGAGCTACAGGAGAAAGATTATTGGTGGATGAAAACAATATCTGACCTGGTGTCATTGGTTGACGGCAAAACAGATATAAGGTAAAGCAAAGAAGTTAAGTAAGTGAATGCTAAATTAAATAGAAATGACTGCAGAGTCATGTTACAGCTTTAGAAACAATAATTCATCCCTTAGTCTTGGGAAACCGCTTGCTATGTTGGTTCCTCCCTGTGTTTGGTGTGAATGGTTCCAGATGAGACCTCTGTATGAGCTGGTGAAGGAGGTGCAGTGTGCTGGGGTGAAGAGGCTCCATCTGAAGCGGGCCATAGAGCAGTACCTGAATGAGAGAAACCCCTGCCGCTGCCAGCCCTGCAGGAACAACGGCCTGGTGGTAATGGATGGGGATGAGTGTAGATGCATCTGTAAACCTGGGACAGACGGACCGGCCTGTGAGAAGGGGAAGGAGGTGGAAGGGCAGGAGGGTAGGTGACATTTGACACGTCGCGTGGATACTCCGGATGATGACATTTGTGTATTAATTTCTCGCAAACTTGAAGTTTGCTTGGGTGCTTGCAGGCATACTCTACATTCACATACAGATTACATATGGATCCATAACCTCTCTCTCCATCCTTCCTTTCTTTCACCACAACTCTACATTCCACCACCCTCTCTGTCCCCCTTCCTCCCTCCCTCTCTCTCTAAGGGGTGATCCATGGCAGCTGGTCTTGCTGGTCTGGCTGGACTTCCTGCTCCGGAAGTCAGAGGTCACGAACACGTGCATGCAGTAACCCCGCCCCTCAGAGAGGCGGCCATCACTGCAACGGAGAGGCCAGGGAAACGGCGGGCTGCGATGACCACCAAGACCTGCAATACCTCCAGTCAGAAATACTGCTGCATCTCAATCGACTTAGTGATAAGACTTTATACATGAACACTACACAACAAATACATGACATGGCGTGGCATACTTTTGCAGGCCAAAGTGCTTATCAGGCGAACACTAACAAAGACAGTGTTGAAAAAGCCACGCATGAGCAACACATTACTGTCTTCTATAATTTCAGCCTTCATATTATCCTACTGTTACTGACCTTGCTGAATGTCTGTTTTGTGTTTGTTTGTGTTTAATTCCAGGACCATGGAGCCTCAGTGCTTTGACCTGACCCTCCCACCTAAGGAGACCTGTAGGAGCCCACCTCCTCTCCCTAATGGCTATGTCCTGGTAAGAATGGATGGACAGATAACCACTAAACTATCTGTTTCCTTCAGTCCTGCTGCTGGAGAGATACAGGGCATACAGGCTTTTGCTCTAACCTTGCACTAACAGAACTGATTCAGTGATTCAACTAATCACAATGTCTTTGCAGAAGGCTGGCTCCAAAGCCTGAACATGGTCCTACTCTATTGTAGCCATTTCAACCTCCATATTATAATGCAGTTCCTCCATTTGTAGATATCATCATCTGGATAGGTTGGATTGTGTTTGACCATCATTTGTGCTGTTAAACTCAGGATCCAAAAGATGTGTATCTGGTGGGCAGTGAGATTGAATACACCTGCATTGAGGGCTACCATCTGATTGGAATAAGGATCGCAGAGTGCACTGGTGCTCAGACATGGAGCACGCCTTACAAAGAGTGCAAGAGTAAGTAACGCTTCAGTGAAAACAGCCTCTGCATTTGCGCCATTTTAATTGGTCAGGAGATTAAAACTGGATTCCGCATTGGGTGAAAAAGCTCCACTGGTTGCCCCAGTCACATTTGATATTGTATTGTATTGTTGTTATTGCACGCATACACACAGGAATCCTTCCCTGGAACACACATACACACACACACATCATTATGATAATTTCCCTCACCTTTTTCCAGGCTCCAGGTGCCATGTCCCGTCCCTTCTAAATGATGTCACAGGCTCTCACTGGCAGACCACCTATGACATAGGGGAAAGGATCCCACTGTCCTGCCCTGAGGGGAGACACATAGTGGGAGACAAAGAGATCATCTGTGACTCCAGTCTGCACTGGACACCAGACCCCAACACCATCACATGTAGCCAACGTAGGTTGATATATCATTTCTGCAACTTTGAACTCCTTCCAGATATCAACCTATGTTGAAATGTGTTACTATTTGTCAGTTTATCTGAATGTTATATTATAATTGGTTCAACATATGGTATTCTCTACCCTCGGATAATGCAAATGAAATAATGTATTTGTTTTCCTTTATGAATCCAGCATCAAAAAAGGTTGATCACGTTGATGGCCCAGCAGTGCAATGCAAACCATGGGAGAAACTCGCCAAAGACAAATGTATATGCAAATTGCCTTATGAGTGCACGTAAGTTTTACCAACCTTTGTCTATTATGTAACTTTAACTAGTCTAACTACTTGCAGATATACAGGAATTAAGCTCCCTTTAATCAATGTGAGAAGTGGCTCCTTTTGACTGCATATTCTACATACCCTAAATATGCTCTATGCTTTAACTATGATCACTTCTCGAATTTGACCATAGGCACATATCTAAAATCTTGACCATTAGGAGAGGAAACATAAACTGACCACACATCAGCGATTTCAGGGTTTCACCCAACGCTAACTATGTTGCTCTTTTGTTCAGGTCATCTCTAGAGGTGTGTGCCACCAATCTTGAGAGGGGTCGGACAAACAGACTGAGCGTGTGCAAGATGCACACCATGCATTGTCTGGGAAGGAGCTACAACCTGACAGAGGACAGTGCCTGCGAGTGGCCAACCAATACAACTTCACCCTGCACCAACTGCCAGTTGTGGGAGGCTTGTGACGGTACGACTCTGGTTTAACTTAAATTGAAGTTGTATTTTAAAAAATTGTTACACAGACAAGTAAACGCTGTAATATGAATATCTATGCCCTTGCACGGTGTGTGTGTGTGCGTGTGTGTATGTGAGCGTGTATGTGTGTGCGTGCGTGCACATGTATGTATGAGTGTGTATGTGTGTGTGCATGCGTGTTCCCATGTGTGTGTGCAAACTGCACCAGTTCTCAAGACCATTCTCCTTGTCTCCTTCTAACAGGACAAACAAACCTGTGTCGCTGTAAGGACTTGGCTGAGTGCTCAGATCCAGGGTTGAGTGTCTGTGTTCGTATTGGGGACGATGCTGACAGTGCTACCCAGACACTGAGCGAGTGCGAGGCAGGACTGAGGAGGTGTAAAGGAGAAAAGGTGTCAGTTGTCAGCATACTACCTTGTAGCGCTTAAGGATACAAGAGAATAGTGTCCTCTCCTCCGACTCACCATGTCTGTGATAATGACAGAAAATACCCTCATTCAGTCATTTCGTCTTATCTCTGTGTTTTTTTATATCACTCTTCAAATGCATTGCTTTGAAGACATTAAAGCCATTAAAGTATATAAACCACCCATTAGACTTGATTGATAATGCTTATTTTTGTTCCAATAAATAAAAACAAGTCACAACAGTAGAGTAAGAGCTAATTCTACCTGACCCATGTGTCAAATTTGAAATATTTGCATTTCTTGCCTTATCCAATTTAGAGTTCCATACAATGCATAAATAGTTTGCTTGAACCATTCAAAAGATTGACAAGTCTCCTGAGTGGCGCAGTGGTCTAAGGCACTGCATCGCAGTGCTAACTGTGCCACTAGAGATCCTGGTTCGAATCCGGGCTCTGTTGCAGCCGGCCGCGACCGGGAGACTCATGGGTGGCCAGGGTAGGGGAGGGAATGGCTGGCAGGGATGTAGCTCAGTTGATAGAGCATGGTGTTTGCAATGCCAGGGTTGTGGGTTTGATTCCCATGGGGGGCCAGTATAAAAAAATATGTATTCACTAACTGTAAGTTGCTCTGGATAAGAGCGTCTGCTAAATGACTAAAATGTAATGTAAATGTAAGTCACAGCAGGCAGAAATGTATCTTAGGTAAACATAGCATTACAAAAACAACCTTGTTATAGAATAGCACCACATACTGTCCACATCTCTCTACATGCTGTTGGTTTAGTAGGGGATGTTCTGTACATTTTGCTCTGTTCCAAATTACCCAGACACCCCTTAATCTGCCAAGAATAACATCATGATTGACACTCCCTCCCTGCTCTTGGCTAGCTGCCTGTTAGCTCTGTGAAAGGCAGGCCAGGCATGTGTGTATGTGTGTGTGAGAGAGTGTGTGTGTGAGAGAGAGAGAGAGAGAGAGAGAGAGAGAGAGAGAGAGAGAGAGAGAGAGAGAGAGAGAGAGAGAGAGAGAGAGAGAGAGTGTGTGTGTGTGTGTGTGTGAGAGAGACAGAGAGAGACAGAGAGAGAGAGAGAGAGAAATATAATACTCTGGAATGTCCACAGCCACAGAAAGCTCATGCAAACTCTCAACATGAAGGTAAGATGATACACTATTTACTCCTTTTAATATACTCAGTTGATTCCTAAGCAGGTTAAAAACAATATTGCTGTGTAGTCGTTAGGGATTTAGGCTCAGGCTGTTGTAAAATACAAACAACATTTAATTGCAGCATTCCTCTCCTCTCCTTAGGATCGTCTGTCAGTCTCTCTGATCTGTCTGCCATGGCTCTTCTTTGGGATGATCTCACCCAGTAATTGTGTGGAGCCAGTGCATTGTCAATGGGGATCCTACAGAACACACTACCATTACACTCTAACCTCCATTACTGGCTGCAAAACAACTCTCCATTACGTTCAGCGGCACACAGACACAGATGTACAGTGAGGGAAAAAAGTATTTGATACCCTGCTGATTTTGTAAGTTTGCCCACTGACAAAGAAATGATGAGTCTATAATTTTAATGGTAGGTTTATTTGAACAGTGAGAGACAGAATAACAACAACAAAATCCAGAAAAACGCATGTCAAAAATGTTATATATTGATTTTCATTATAATTAGGGAAATAAGTATTTGACCCCCTCTCAATCAGAAAGATTTCTGGCTCCCAGGTGTCTTTTAAACAGGTAACGAGCTGAGATTAGGAGCCCCTACTTAAAGGGAGTGCTCCTAACCTCAGTTTGTTACCTGTATAAAAGACATCTGTCCACAGAAGCAATCAATCAATCAGATTCAAAACTCTCCACCATGGCCAAGACCAAAGAGCTCTCCAAGGATGTCAGGGACAAGATTGTAGACCTACACAAGGCTGGAATGGGCTACAAGACCATCGCCAAGCAGCTTGGTGAGAAGGTGACAACAGTTGGTGCGATTATTCGCAAATGGAGGAAACACAAAATAACTGTCAATCTCCCTCGGCCTGGGGCTCCATGCAAGATCTCACCTCGTGGAGTTGCAATGATCATGAGAACGGTGAGGAATCAGCCCAGAACTACACGGGAGGATCTTGTCAATGATCTCAAGGCAGCTGGGACCATAGTCACCAAGAAAACAATTGGTAACACACTACGCGCCGTGAAGGACTGAAATCCTGCAGCGCCCGCAAGGTCCCCCTGCTCAAGACAGCACATATACAGGCCCGTCTGAAGTTTGCCAATGAACATCTGAATGATTCAGAGGAGAACTGGGTGAAAGTGTTGTGGTCAGATGAGACCAAAATGGAGCTCTTTGGCATCAACTCAACTCGCCGTGTTTGGAGGAGGAGGAATGCTGCCTATGACCCCACGAACACCATCCCCACCGTCAAACATGGAGGTGGAAACATTATGCTTTGGGGGTGTTTTTCTGCTAAGGGCACAGGACAACTTCACCGCATCAAATGGACGATGGACGGGGCCATGTACCGTCAAATTTTGGGTGAGAACCTCCTTCCCTCAGACAGGGCATTGAAAATGGGTTGTGGATGGGTATTCCAGCATGACAATGACCCAAAACACACGGCCAAGGCAACAAAGGAGTGGCTCAAGAAGCACATTAAGGTCCTGGAGTGGCCTAGCCAGTCTCCAGACCTTAATCCCATAGAAAATCTGTGGAGGGAGCTGAAGGTTCGAGTTGCAAAACGTCAGCCTCGAAACATTAATGACTTGGAGAAGATCTGCAAAGAGGAGTGGGAGAAAATCCCTCCTGAGATGTGTGCAAACCTGGTGGCCAACTACAAGAAACGTCTGACCTCTGTGATTGCCAACAAGGGTTTTGCCACCAAGTACTAAGTCATGTTTTGCAGAGGGGTCAAATACTTATTTCCCTCATTAAAATGCAAATAAATGTTGTTGTTATTCTGTCTCTCACTGTTCAAATAAACCTACCATTAAAATGATAGACTGATCATTTCTTTGTCAGTGGGCAAACGTACAAAATCAGCAGGGGATCAAATACTTTTTTCCCTCACTGTATCAGAGATTGACTGCTGCCACACACGCTTGGGATGATTTACAAAGTAAATATGCAACTATTAGGTTATTATCAAAGAGATTAAGGCTGGAATTACAATCAAACCCACAATGTTTACCCAGTGTGTTAACAAACACTGTCTGCTCACATGCACACATACCTGCAGGAATGCACACACACACACAATTGTTATTGGGCCCAATTCCGACTTAGGAAATTACGCCTTTCTTATGCACACCTCACCTTTTTCCTATGTACATGCATGCATGTGTGTGTGTGTGTGTGTGTGTGTGAATGCGTGCGTGTGTACATGCGTGTGTACGTGTGTGTGCATGTGTGTGTGCGGCTTGCATCATCTGTCCAACACGTGAAAGAGTGATACCAAATTTTTTTGTTTCAAGTGTACCAGAGCAAGAACCCTTGTCCTGAGATGCCCTTGTGGAATTTTTCCCAAACAAGTTGTCTTCTCATTACTTCTTGTATCATTGAGGGAAGGGAATACATTGGTTCTGATCATTTGGATTAGCACAGTATGATTCTGAGGATTTCTCATAACATTCATTGAATTTGTATTCAAATTGATAATCTCTAGATGTTAACATGACATTACATTGGATCTTCACATCAGTTGGCTAAATCTAAACTGAGCCTATGACATGGATGAGACGTAACTGTATGAGCCTGTCTCCACCCAGTGGATAGAACACTAATTTACAGGAATCTGGGCTTCTGGACTATTTGGGAATTGGTGCATGGGACAGTGCACACAGTCATTGGGACAATGATGTAGGCAACAGGGAAACAATACAATGATCTTAAAGCATGGAACTTGACTGCAACTTGGCTCAAATGTGCCCGACAACTTCTAGAAATTTAATTGATTTGAGCCAGTTGATAATTGTAATATAAGGAATGCTGTCTACAAAAATATGGTTTCAGAAATGTGAGGCACATCATTGTTTCTTCTTATAAGGCCCAATTTAGACTTAGGATAAGTAAACTTAACATGTGCCCCTTTAGAACCCATAGCGGCCGTCAACGTCTGTTCTTTAAATTACTATAGCGTCCAATTTTCAGCTTTGCCCAACACCTGGTTGTCTAATGGTTAGACGGAGACCTGGAGAGGCCTACAAGCCACAGTGTCTCGCACCCACTGTGAAATTTGGTGGAGGATCGGTGATGATCTGGGGGTGCTTCAGCAAGGCTGGAATCGGGCAGATTTGTCTTTGTGAAGGACGCATGAATCAAGCCACGTACAAGGTTGCTCTGACATTGTTCCCCAACTCTGAGGATTGTTTTTTCCAGCAGGACAATGCGCCATGCCACACAGCCAGGTCAATCAAGGTGTAGATGGAGGACCACCAGATCAAGACCCTGTCATGGCCAACCCAATCTCCAGACCTGAACTCCATTGAAAACTTCTGGAATGTGATCAAGAGGAAGATGGATGGTCACAAGCCATCAAACAAAGCCGAGCTGCTTGAATTTTTGTCCCAGGAGTGGCATAAAGTCACCCAACATCAATGGTGGAGAGCATGCCAAGACGCATGAAAGCTGTGATTGAAAATCAGGGTTATTCCAACAAATATTGATTTCTGAACTCTTCCTAAGTTAAAACATTAGTATTGTGTTGTTTAAAAATGAACATGAACTTATTTTCTTTGCATTATTCGAGGTCTGACAACACTGCATCTTTTTTGTTATTTTGACCAGTTGTCATTTTCTGCAAATAAATGCTCTAAATGACTATATTTTTATTTGGGAGAAATGTCAGTAGTTTATAGAATAAAACTAAAATGTTATTTTTTACCAAAACAGAGAAAAACCAGAGAAACTGATCATTTTGCAGTGGTCTCTTAATTTTTTTCCAGAGCTGTATATGGTTATATAGGATCCCCATTAGCTCTTGCACAAGTAGCAGCTACACTTCCTGGGGTACCACATGATGATACAGTATACTCTGTGTGTGTGTGTGTGTGTGTGTGTGTGTGTGTGTGTGTGTGTGTGTGTGTAATGGGAGGCGTGTTGTAACTGTAATACACAATTTATGGAAACCCCTAAGAGGTGATTATTAAAGAGTATGTGTATGGCTGAGAGAAAGAAAGAGTGGAAGAACGAGAGAGAGAGAGATAAAGAGAGAGAGAGAGAGAGAGAGAGAGAGAGAGATAAAGAGAGAGAGAGAGAGAGAGAGAGAGAGAGGAGAGAGAGAGAGAGATTATGATCCTGACCACAATTGTATTCTATTTGTTCCTCTGTCCCTCTTTTCCTCTGTTTTCCAAGGTCAATGAAAGTGAAGGAAGTGATGTGGAGAGTCAGGGCTCAGACGCAGAAGGCAGGGAGGAAGAGAAGTTAGAGATGATTGGAGGGACAGAGATGTGGTGCGAAGAGGAAGAGGAGGGAGGAGTGGAGCGAGAGGAGAGTGGAGGGAGAGAGGAAGAGGAGAGTGAAGAGGAGAATAGAGGAAGAGAGGAAGAAGAGAGTGAAAAGGAGGGAGAGGAGAGTGGAGGGAGAGGAACATGGAGAGGAAGAGGAACATGGAGAGGAAAAAGAGGAGGAGGATGGAGAGGAGGAGGAAGAGGGAGAGGAAGAGGGAGAGCACACCAGAGAGGGGAGCCTACTAGTGGAGGCTGCTGAGGGGAGAACGGCTCATAATAATTGAATGGCATCAAACACCTGGAAACCATGTGTTTGATGTATTTGATACCATTCCACTAATTCCGCTCCAGTCATTACCACGAGCCCGTTCCTCCCCAATTAAGGTGCCACCACCCTCCTGTGGAGCCAACGTGTCCATGGAGTGTGTCTGCCCCAAGTCAAACCATTCACCCTTCTAACACACAGCTTACTTTGTGCAATTTGTCTGTCTCATTTGTTGAATTTGGATCTTAAAGCGGTTGCGTGGCATTTTAATAGCTATGCATGGTACCCTGAAGGCAGCGTCAGAAGATCAGTGTGGGGACCCTGCAAATGGCCTTTCCCAGAAACACAGGCGCTGGTCCCTGAAGGCATTCAAAATGCAGCTTGTGCATTCACTTTGTGATGGCTACAGTGGCAGGAAGTGGGAAGCCAAGAGTGTGGCACCAGGGGGTGTGGACTGAATCAATAGCCTACTTTGTGTGGGTTTTGAAATACTTTCTGAATATTGTCCTCTGGTCACATTAAAAAAATATATATATATATTTATAAGTGTAATATATTATACTTGGTACATTTAGAGTGAGTAATGTAGTCAAATGTTCAATATGTTTTGTTGTTGTGTTGAATGTTAATAGTTTTTTGATAGTGAGTGTCTTTACATAGAAGACTAAATGACTGTTATTCCTATTGACATGGATGAGTTGTCATATTAAAGAAGAGGTTGTGTTCTTTAAAACTAAGTTAACTTGTATTTGTCATTTGTTCTTTGTTTTTGAGCTATGTCTGTTTGTTTGAAATGTGTGACAAAATTAGCTTTATCTTGAAAACTCTCAGTAATCTACAGCATTCTAGAACTCTCTAGGGGTCTAAAGGGTTAAAGTGATGCTCCAGAGCTTTTATTTAATTTCAGCCAGTAGTTTTAAATGTAGTGCTCATGAGCCAAAACAGGTCCCCGAAAATTGTGCACAATTGTGTACTATTTCATCCATTTCGTATGATATGTTATGTCCTGCAAAAAAATAAAATATTATTGCAATTCGTATGATATGTTACAAATTCCAATCCATGCAATATGTTGCGAAGTGTTTAAGATCTTAAGATCCTGGACTGCATCTAAGTAAAGGTAAACTTTTCTCAAGTCTGAATAGGGCCAATAGAGAATTAATACAGAAACTAAAAAACAGATCAGTCAGTTTAAATAAAAAAGTTTATTAACAATGTAAAATGACATATAGCTTTTTATTTCAGCTTTGACTACAGTACTGTACCTTTTCCATGCCCTACACATTTAACACTATTATTAATAAGCAAGACCCATGCTGAGTCCCCACTGCCTGCACTGACTGTGCCTTACAGAGGGAGACGCCACCTGCTTATGTCATCCAAGACTTCACCACACTATCCCAACTTCGAAAATAATTCAGAGCGCATCGCTTAGAGAGTATGTGTATATACAATTCTAACGTCTCAATTTAAAAGATAGATATTGTATGTGCAAAGACGTTTATCTTTTTTGAGTATTGTATAGTATATTCCTCCTTGAAGATGGAAAGTAAAAGTTGGGTACAGGTTTTTGGTTCATGGAAGACTAAATAAAGGTCAGTACAGGAAGTGCAGGGACAGCAAGAAATGGAAAACAGAGAGCGAAACACACAACAGACTTTCTGTGCTCTGGTCTGCTCCATACCTTCTATCTAGTAGTGTGTCCATATATACTGCAAGTGTCATACTTGGTAAAATTGTTTTTGACACAAACTTACAGATCATATTGTGTCCCACACAACATTCATTCATCAATTCAGCTTTATGGAAGAAACTAAATGTTGACAGTTTCCATTAACTTGTCAATTGCCTGCTATGGTGCGTTTCTATTGAACTATCTTGTGTCGATAAAAACAGCTGGACGTAGTGACGTCACACCTAAAAAATATATATTTTCTGCTAAAACCTACAGTGTCAAATTAAATGTAGTGGTTGAAGTGTTTCCATTACCCATTTAGGCAAATTGCACATTAACAAATTGGCAACAGCCTGTATGCCCTCCCACCTACTTTTTTCATGTCTCAGGTAGCCCGCAAAAGCCAGCATAGATAGAATGCAATCATTTACTAATATTTGCCATATTCTAATAATTCGCATGGCGAAACTTGCACTCCTGTAGATATGAAATAATTGGATGGTGAAACTTGCCTGACAACCAGAAAAGCAAGGCGAAGCATTTCAGATATTCTTGAAAGTCAGGACAATATCTGCCTTTTACGTTACACGTCGCAATACTTTCTTTTGCGACATTGCTTTTGTAGAATAAACCTGGGTCAATGGAAACCTGCATACTGTGTCAAATGGTCTTTCTCTCTCCCGAAAACCTCTGACAAACAAAATGTTGGACTCCATTTACCAAATAAAAGGAAAATCAGTTGTAATACATTTAAAATATATGTTTATGACTATTCGTTTCATTACATTGCAATTACAATTCATCTTTGTATTACAAAATAAAATTATAAAAATGGGGTAGGTAGCCTTTTCAACAAAAGAGAGAACTGTGTTGAATATTGGAAATGGCAGTAATAGATCGGTGGGAGACACAAGTGGTGAAGGATTGTGGTTAATGGTGTCTTTGCTGCCATTGTAACGCTTTACTTGATGTGTTGTTCATGACACATCCATAACAGTGTCATAAGCGTATCTTAAAGTGTCATAACACATTCCAAAACATGACATACTATGCTATTTCCGTTATGGGGCACTGTTATGACAACTGTCAATATCTTACGACACTATGTCATAAAGCAAATAAATATATTGGTCATGAAAGGCAAATATAAGTTATTCCAGTTAACATAAGCTTTTATAAAAAAATTGTCACATTTTGGCATGTCTTATGACACTTTACAATGTTCTTTGGACAATGTTATGGTTGTGCCATGAACAACACTTCAAGTAAAGCGTTACTGTTGCCGCCTTCAACCCAGGAGGGTGGAGCCCTTAGCTGGTTACCAGGCAACAGAGCCCAAAGAACCGCCTCTTTCTCTGTCCGACCAGTGGGTAAGGAGTCAGGTTCAGCAAGCTGCTGTCATCTGGGTACAAACACAGACAAGACAATTACAAGTTCAAACTAATCTCAAAGTCATTTTAACTGTGTATTTAACTCACATAGGATTCAAGCATATAGAAACCATGGGTGCGCTCCAGTTGAGGCCCTACCTTGGTTCTTCAATGGTAAAGGCATCGTCTCCCTGAGTTTGCTGAGAAGGTTCTTCATCTCTCTCATGTCCCTATGAAATAATATTTACATAGTGTTCATATGTGTCTTGCTAATGTATCCAGAATTCCGGTAATAACACGCACGCACACACACACACACACACACACACACACACACACACAATGGGCCCACCTCTCAGTATTGTCTATGTCTGTGGCGACTAGCCAGCAGAGCTGATGACAGTCCATTGGGGAGGAGGAGGTGTCTTCTAGAATGGGTATGTCTGAGGTCTCATCCACCTTACTGTCAATCCTGGAAGGCCCACAGGAATCCTTCCCTTTAATACACATACACACATGCACACTATTAATAATAATAGTAATGTAATAGTAATTACATGTTTTACAAAGTAAACAGTAGGGGTGTAATGGTTCACCAAACCCACGGTTCGGTATGTATTGCGGTTTTGGGGTCACGGTTCGGTTACGGTACAGCGGGAAAATGAAATTCAACAGTTACTGTAGTTAATTTTTGTTTCTTTGACAAAATTCGCACAATTAAAAAGCACCTTATTTGTGGCCCAAGTCCAGTTTCTGTGACATCATTCACAATGTTCCTGACACTGTCTGTTGTAACAGGGATTGTTATGTTGGGCCTCAAGTAGAGGTCTAAACAGTTGGACCCGTTCCGAAATGGACATGGGGCTTTCCCAACCGGACAAATATGCATAAATACATTTTTCAATATAGAGACCCGTTCCGTATATACGTTGTCGGATCCGAGTGAGGGAAGCAGCAGAAAAGCCCATTTGTAAGCTATTTTATTAACCAGACCTGATACAGCGCAAGGGAGAGCAGGCTAATTGAGTCTGCATGCGCCTTCTTCCTGTCCTACAGTTACAAATAACAAGACCTCCATTCAGATTATTAAATAGCAACCTACTTGTTGGCTCTTGTTCATTGTAGCATGCACTACTGGTCAAATGTTTTAGAACACCTACATTCCAAGGGTTTTTCTTTATTTTTACTATTTTTTACATTGTAGAATAATAGTGAAGACATCAAAACTATGAAATAACACATATGGAATCATGTAGTAACCAAAAAAGTGTTAAACAAATAAAGATATATTTGAGATTCTTCAAATAGCCACCCTTTGCCACAATGACAGCTTTGCACACTCTTGGCATTCTCTTAACCAGCTTCATTAGGTAGTCACCTGGAATGCATTTTCATTAGCAGGTGTACCTTCTTAAAAGTTAATTTGTGGAATATCTTTCCTTTTGTGACAATCAGTTGTGTTGTGACAAGGTAGGTGGGGTATTCAGAAGATAGCCCTATTTGGTAAAAGACCAAGTCCATATTACGGCAAGAACAGCTCAAATAAGCAAAGAGAAATGACAGTCTATCATTACTTTAAGACATGATGTGATGAGGTGGTGTTGAAGGAGTCAGGCGCAGGAGGGTAAATCACAGAATAACAGGCTTTAATCCGCAAAATACAGGGTTACGCAAAAATGCGTCAAACACACTCCAGGGCACAAAACAGGTGCACTGGAAAATACAAGGCACACGGGAAAATACTCCCGTTGATACAAAATACACGAGCTCCACCGAGCTTCACTAACCTCCACAATAAACAATCACCCACAAGGACAGGGGGGCAGAGGGAACACTTATACACGGACTAATTAGGGGATTAGAACCAGGTGTGTGTGATAACAAGACAGGACAATTGTGATGATGATTGGGGCAGCAGTGGTTAGTACTCCGGTGACGACGAACGCCGAAGCCTGCCCGAACAAGGAGGGGAGGCAGCCTCGGCCGAAGTCGTGACACATGAAGGTCAGTCAATATGGAACATTTCAAGAACTTTTAAAGTTTCTTCAAGTGCAGTGAATGGATGATCTCCTCATGTGTATTTCCCACCGTAAAGCATGGAGGAGGTGAAGCATGGTGTGGGGGTGCTTTGCTAGTGACACTGTCTGTGATTTATTTAGAATTCAAGGCACAGTTAACCAGCATGGCTACCACAGCATTCTGCAGCGATACGCCATCCCATCTGTTTTGGGCTTAGTGGGACTATCATTTATTTTTCAACAGGACAATGACCCAACACACCTCCAGGCTGTGTAAGGGCTATTTCACCAAGAAGGAGAGTGATGGAGTGCTGCATCAGATGACCTGGCCTCCACAATCCCCCGACCTCAACCAAATTGAGATGGTTTGGATTAGTCGGACCGCAGAGTGAAGGAAAAGCAGCCAACAAGTGCTCAGCATATGTGGGAACTCCTTCAAGACTGTTGGTAAAGCATTCCAGAGAATGAGAGAATGCCAAGAGTGTGCAAAGCTGTCATCAAGGCAAAGGGTGGCTATTTGAAGAATCTCAAATATAAAATATATTTTTATTTGTTTAACACTTTTTTGGTTACTACATGATTCCATATGTGTTATTTCATAGTTTTGATGTCTTCACTATTATTCTACAATGTAGAAAATAGTTTTTTAAAAATAAAGAAAAACCCTTGAATGAGTAGGTGTTCTAAAACATTTGACCGGTAGTGTATACTTCTCCTTTAACTTTTAATTCCATCATTTTAATTCCATCTTCCATTGATTAGATAATCTCCTAACTTGCTTTGCCACACATGGAGGTGTGTCAAGGCCACCACTCGCCCCACCTCTCGCCATCTACAGAGTTCCCGGCTGCTCCTCACAAAAGGATAGTTTGAAATCCACCAATTTAGATTATAATTTGTATTATGTGCACATAGGCTGTAGTTGTTTTAACGGAATAGCCCGCAATGTTGTTTCAGGTCAGATTTACTCACGTGGCAATGGCATACAACGCATTTTGTTATGTATTCATTCGGGTTCACAGTGCGGACCGAACCGAGGTACTTGTACCAAACGGATCGGTACAAATATGTGTAACATTACATCCCTAGTAAACAGTGAATAGTAGCTGAAAATAGCGCAATTAAGGATTTGAATCTGTGTAAAGTAATAAATAAAGTGTTCTATAGCAGTCCTGTGCAGTTTCAGGGATCCCATCAGACAGGCAGACCTATGTAGGCTTCACGTCTCTGGCTATAATAGTGCTATATAGGCTCTACGTCACGTTATAATTGTATGTTGTTTTATGTCAGGCATTCCCTACCTTTCCTGTGGAGCTGCAGGGACCCCAGCAGACAGACAGACTTGAGCATCTCCGTGATGTACATCTCCAGACAGCACTGCAGCTGGATGAAGAGCCTGCAGATCTCTGGGTGGATCTCTCCGTCCTCAGGCCTGTGGGGCCGTACAAACAAATGCCAATCAATATTGAGATTACCCATGAGATAAGATAATACTTTACTCTCTGCTTGCACATAACTTTGCATCTACAGTGTTCATTTACCACAAGGATGTACAGAAAAGGTCTACAAAGTAAAAAATGATGCACAATAAACCAAAAAAGTCACCACACCAACACAACAATAAATTAGACATTACACATCAACATTGCACATATGCCCTATCAATGTTGAGCGGCAATTATATTTTTAAGATTTGGATAAGATAACAGCACAACAACGTCTTGGAAGATATGTTGAGTTCCTAAGGTTCAGACAAAATGACAGACATGAGGGAACAGACAGCGAAAAATAGTATTTCCACCTCTTCACACATGGCATCTGTCCACTTTGTACATGAAGATTCAAAATCACTTGGATTAAGCATGGGCAATGTGGGGACATGGCTCTTTCTTGTGGAAGCCTTGTGTTCCACATAAGAATTAAGTAAGTAATGTGGTGACAGACAGACAGAGTATTAAACAAATTACTTTTGTGACGGCCACATGTAGCTGAACAGCTAACTGTCCCTATTCTTTGCACTTTAACATTCATTTTCATCAAACATTTTGTGTCTAATCAAATAATGACCCAACACATGGCTTTCGTTTCAAGTATCAAAGACACACCTTCTTTGAATTGTTATCGGTTCAGTTAACCCTTGGAGTTGCTCTTGTTCTGCTATGTAGACCTCAATTATACATGTATCTATATGTGAGGTGTTAGAACAGTTTTACTTTCATTAATTTACAGACCTTTGTGTACTATTTCTATGCACTATCAAATATTGTCTATTATATTGACAAGAAATTCAAGTATGGAAATACATGTCCTCAAATATGTTTGATCTGGGGTAGAACACCGAGCCCCTCGGTTCTAGCAGACTGTGAGGACGTCTGTCCAGTAGCAACCTCTCACTACCTCCAACCCTCCCGTGTGCTGCCCTCCTGGCAGCTTTATGGGCCCTGTATGGCTGGTGAGCAATCAGCCCCTTGATTACTCACCAGCCTCAATCAGCACCAAATAGTCCTGTCCGGACGACCCGTCGAGACCTGGCACGTCCAGCAGAGGGAGCCACCGCCGCGTGATGTAGACTCCATCTGTCACCAGGCCTCGACGAGTCTCCCCCTGGTGGCTTGCCACGGTACGCCACACCAGTGAGAGGGCAGATAGAGATAGGTAAAAGACTCATCTTTGTATCTGTGCCATAATACCATCTGTGACTGCCTGGGCAGCGCCATTGAGGCTATCTCGATTTTAAAGTAGTCAATTTTATTCTTCTTCATTTGCTGATTGCTACCAACTCATAGGAATCCTCACCCAGTTGACTACTTTAAAATGGTGGAAGCCCTCAATGGTAATGTCCATGTTAAAACGTGTTATATCCATGATGAATCCTCTATCTCTTTGACAACAGGCACAACTCTGATATAAAGATGTTTTTATGTAACTTGCCGAAATGCCACTTCCGTCCACTTATATCAGTTCATTCATAACAACCTAACCATTACGAAACTTCTATTAGATCAAATAAGCCTTCCGTAGCAAATTAGCAATTACATTTTTTTATGAACAAATTCGACACTCATTGACCTCCATACATAAAGTCCCCACTTCGTGGGCTTATTTTCGTGGAAAGATTTTGAGCTGAATAAAACCTCGCCCTTCGCCTCTTCCTCTCTGGTACTATGGTTTTTGATATACAGTATCTTACTTTGTAAACAACTTCAAGTTTGGGAAAATAAATCCCCTAATATTTGCACCCTATTCAGTTGTCTCCCATTGCATGCTTGGTCATCCCTTACAACTTTGCACATTCTTGGAACACAAGTTTAGTATGTGCTATTAGCTTTAGCACTTGGCTAAAGCACATACAAATAGGACCAGGCTATCAAAAGAGCATATGAAGTACTTTACGTGGAATGGTACCCAGTGCAGTCAAAAACGTGATTTTCCTGTGATGTATATATGTGTCCACACTATGAGGTTGGAATAATACTGCAAAATTGTGATAATGCCCTTTTAGTGTAAGAGCTGTTTGAAAAGACCGCCTGAAATTTCAGCATGTTTTGGAGGGATCTGAAAAGCTGGTCAATTACCTGTAATGGTACAGATGTAGGATCTTAATTTGAACCAGTTTTCTACAGCAGGAAAATAATCCTGCAGCAACAAGAAATGTGAATTATTATATGGATTATAATTAATGGCAATTTTTTGTAGGGGTTGATATATTTGTCATTAGGGCAAATCAAGTCTGACATTTTAAATGGAAATTACAAACTTTAGAAGCCTTTTTAAACCTTGAATACACTTCAAGTTTGCATTTCCTTCTGTGCAGGAAAATTCTTAGTAACAAAAGAGTGATCAAACTAAGGTCCTACATCTGCTACAAGTCATTCTGTAAGCAGCAGGGGCATAAAGTAACAACAAATAAAGTTACAGCTACAGTGCCTTCAGAAAGTATTCACACCCCTTGACTTTTCCCAAATGCTGTTGTGCTACAGCCTGCATTTAAAATGGATTCAATTGAGATTTTGAGTCACTGGCCTACACATAATTTCCCATAATGTTAAAGTGGAATTATTTGTTTTTAGAAATGTTTACAAATTAATAAAAAATAAAAAATGAAATGTCTTGCATCATTAAGTATTCAACCCCTTTGTTATGGCAAGCCTAAATTGGAGTAAACATTTGCTTAACAAATCACATAACAAGTTGCATGGACTCACTCTGTGTGCAATAATAGTATATAACATGATTTTTTAATGACTACCTCATCTCTGTACCCCACACATATAATTATCTTTAAGGTCCCTTAGTCAAGCAGTGAATTTCAAACAGATTCAACCACAAAGAGCAGGGAGGTTTTCCAATGCCTCACAAAGAAGGGCACCAACACAACCCATCACTGAGTACTACTCTTCATATTTTTAAGCATGGTGTTGGCTGCATCATGCTATGGGTATGCTTGTCATCGGCAAGGACTAGGACGTTTTTTAGGATTTAAAGAAACGGAATAGAGCTAAGCACACACAAAATCCTAGAGGAAAACCTGGTTCAGTCTGCTTTCCAACAGTCACCTTTCAGCAGGACAATAACCTAAAACACATGGCCAAATATACACTGGAGTTGCTTACCAAGATGACATTGAATGATCCTGAGTGGCCTAGTTACAGTTTTCACTTACAGTATATCGGCTTGAAAATCTATGGCAAGACTTGAAAATGGCTGTCTAACAATGATCAACAACCACCTTGACAGAGCTTGAAGATTTTTTAAATAATAATGTGCAAATACTGTACAATCCAGGTGTGCAAAGCGCTTAGAGACTTACCCAGAAAGACTCACAGCTGTAAATGCTGCCAAAGGTGTTTCTAACATGTATTGACTCAGGGGGTTGAATACTTATCTAATCAAGATATATTGGTGTTTTATTTTCCATTAATAAAAAAAAGAGGTTTGACTTTTTCTTCCACTTTGACATTCAAGTATTTTGTGTAGATCGTTGACAGAAAATGACAATTAAAACCATTTTAATCCCACCTTGTAACACAACAAAATGTGTAAAAAGTCAAGGAGTGTAAATCCTCCAAATAAGTAATACTGCTACTGCTTTCTCTCATAATGATCCACAGACAAAGTTCCATTAGTGTCTGAATCAACTGCAAAGTCAGTGGAACTCTTCTGCAATACTGTAGCAAACTCTAAACCAACTCCTTAGCAGCAGTATGGCAGGTCAATATCACACTCAGTGATAAGGATAGCCCACTAAACTGTGGAAACATAGCCGCGGGAAGTAGGGGTGCTGAGGGTGCTGCAGCCCCCCCCTGATAACAATTGAAAAATAATTAATATAAACATTTCAAAAATCACTCCTGTATGAGCCGAGAACAATATCCATTGACAAAAATGGTCCCGTATACTGGCTACGGCGTCTCAAATTGGACAAACAGTACTTTTGCCACTTTTTTCTCCTTTTTCAAGCGAAGTTCTTTTAAGGGAGTATGCGAGCACACTCATTCATTTCGCCTAGCTGAACTACAGCATGCTGACACCTTAAGGAGACTTCAAGACTGCATGCTGTTTTTGATGCGACGATTCTAAATGACTGAGAGGAAAATCCAGGGTGCGTTACGAGATTGGGCTCTTCTGCAATAGCTACTGAGGATACTACCTTTCCTGTATTAATAAATCCCACCAATGAGAACCGGAGATCTACTGCGTTTTGCTCTACACCATCGGAAGCAAAGTGGAATCGAGTTAGAAGAAGGAGAGGAGGATCATTCTAATGCATTCTCCCTCTCCCATCTCGTCCAGACCTGCGGCTCTCTAAATGTTTTTCGTCACTGAGCCCCCTGACTTCACCGGGGGCCTCCAACGAGGAACCTACTCCGCCCCCCAAGCCCTTCCCATTCAAATTCTGGACCTGGGTTACTGAGCCGGCCATCCCCTGGAGCAACCCACAGACTAGAATATAATTGTATGCTGTAGCGTTAAGATTTCGCTTCACTGGAACTAAGGGGCCTAGCCGGAGCCATGAAAAATAGCCCCAGACCATTATTCCTCCTCCACCAAATTTTACAGTTGGCATTATGCATTCGGGCAGGTAGCGTTTTCCTGGCATCCGCCAAACCCAGATTAGTCCATCGGACTGCCAGATGGTGAAGCGTGATTCATCCCTCCAGAAAACACATTTCCACTGCTCCAGAGTCCAATGGCGGTGACGAGCTTTACACCACTCCAGCTGACGCTTGGCATTGCGCATGGTGATCTTAGGCCTGTGTGCGGCTGCTCGGCCATGGAAACCCATTTCATGAAGCTCCTGACGAACAGTTCTTGTGCTGACGTTGCTTCCAGAGGCAGTTTGTTACTCGGTAGTGAGTGTTGCAACCGCTCTTCAGCATTATGCGGTCCCGTTCTGTGAGCTTGTGTGGCCTACCACTTCGCGGCTGAGCCGTTGTTGCTCCTAGACGTTTCCACTTTACAATAACAGCACTTACAGTTGACCGGGGCAGCTCTAGCAGGGCAGAATATTGACGAACTAACTTGTTAGAAAGGTGGCATCCTATGATGGTGCCACGTTGAAAGTCACTGAGCTCTTCAGTAAGGCCATTCTACTGCCAATGTTTGTCTATGGAGATTATATGGCTGTGTGCTCAATTTTATACACCTGTCAGCAACGGGTGTGGCTGAAATAGCCCGAATCCACTAATTTGAAGGGGTGACCACATACTTTTGTATATATAGTGTACCTCACTTCCCTGTTGAAATATACAAATATGAGATATCAAACCCGTTGGGCAGGGTTGGTTAACTCTTGAGGTCCCGCTTGTCTCCACAAAGTTTGGTAAATCCAACCTTTTGTTTTAACGGACCATAGTTATGGAACACCTTACAAAACAAATTACAACTGGATTCCTGGTGTAGATAAGGCCGTTTAAAACTCTGTTGTTAAATAAAGTTAATAAATAATAAAAACATGCATTTCCATAGTGTTTTCTACGCTGCAAATACAACCCTGTACAGATCAGTCAGATCAAAGCTCACACAGGTCACTCTAAACTGAAAGCAGAGGCTGAAACCAAAGTAACATTTCCAAGCTGAGGTTTTAATAGAAGGCTGTGGCCAATGTCTGTGACACAGCCCTAGCGTTGTCTTTCAGCACCAGGGACAGCGACCGCTACTTACCCTGAAATGACTGACAGGCTCTGGTGTGCAGCTCTCGCCATCTCACAGCCTTTAGTTCGCGTCTTGTGCATCTCGGCCTGTAACGAGGGGCAGTCGACAGAGATCTCGCCAATGGAGATGACCAGTTCACGATACAGGGCCACAAGCGTATTAAACTCCTGGACGATCTGGGGGGAAAAAAATAAATAAACATGATTTAAGATTATTTGGACCTCAGATATAGGTTCCTCTGTCACGAGCCACAGCAAGACCTTGCAATGTTCTTCCATAAACAGTGCATTCGGAAAGTATTCAGACCCCTTGACCTTTTCCACATTTTGTTACGTTACAGCCTTATTCTTAAATGGATTAAATTGTTTGTTTATTTCTTATCAATCTACATACAATAACCCATAATAACAAAGTAACAACTGGTTTTTAGAAATGTTTGCCAATTTATTAAAAATAAACTGAAATATCACATTTACATAAGTATTCAGACACTTTACTCAGTACTTTGTTGAAGCACCTTTGGCAGTGATTACAGCCTCGAGTCTTCTTGGGTATGATGCTACAAAATTGGCACACCTGTATTTGGGGAGTTTCTCACATTATTCTCTGCAGATCCTCTCAAGCTCTGTCAGGTTGGATGGGGAGCATCGCTACACAGCTATTTTCAGGTCTCTCCAGAGATGTTTGATCGGGTACAAGTCCGTGCTCTGGCTGGGACACTCAAGGTCATTCAGAGACTTGTCCCGAAGCCACTCCTGCATTGTCTTGGCTGTGTGTTTAGGGTCGTTGTCCTGTTGGAAGGTGAACCTTCGCCCCAGTATGAGGTCCTGAGCGCTCTGGAGCAGGTTTTCATCAAGGATCTCTCTGTACTTTGCTCCATTCATCTTTCCCTCAATCCTGACTAGTCTCATGGTCTGAGAGTACTTGATTTGCCTCTTGGCAAACTCCAAGCGGGCTGTCATGTGCCTTCTATCTGGCCACTCTACCATAAAGGCCTGATTGGTGTAGTGCTGCAGAGATAGTTGTCCTTCTGGAAGGTTCTCCCATCTCCACAGAGGAACTCTGGAGCTCTGTCAGAGTGACCATCGGGTTCTTGGTCACCACCCTGACCAAGGCCCTTCTCCCCCGATTGCTCAGTTTGGCCGGGCAGCCAGCTCTAGGAAGAGTCTTGGAGGTTCCAAACTTCTTCCATTTAAGAATGATGGAGGCCACTGTGTTCTTGGGACCTCCAATGCTGCAAAAAAATGTTGGTACCATTCCCCAGATCTGTTCCTCGACACAATCCTGTCTCGGAGCTCTACGGACAATTCCTTCAACCTCATGACTTGGTTTTTGCTCTGACATGCACTGTCAACTGTGGGACCTTATATAGACAGGTGTGTGCCTTTCCAAATCATGTGTTTACACAGGTGGACTCCAATCAAGTTGTGGAAACATCTCAAGGATGATCAATGGAAATAGGATGCACCTGTGCTCAATTTCGAGTCTCACAGCAAAGGGTCTGAATACTTATGTAAATAAGGTATTTCTGTTTTTTATTTGTAATACATTTGCAAGATTTTCTAAAAACCTGTTTTCGCTTTGTTGTTATGGGGTATTGTTTGTAGATTGATGAGGGAATACATTTATTTAATCCATTTTAGAATAAGTGTCACGGATTCCGCCGAGGCTGCTCCTCCTCCTTGCTCGGGCAGCCTTCGGCGTTCGTCGTCCCCGGAATACTAGCTACTGCCGATCGATGTTTCGGTGTTTGTCTTGTGTTGTCTAGTTTGTACACCTGTTACTTATTTTGTTTTGATTGTGTAACATATAAGTTCCCTTGTTTTACGTTTGGCCTTTGTGTGTTATTGTCATTTTGTCCTGTTTGATGTTCGGCAATTCTAGTTTGCCTTTTACGCACAGCGCGTGTTACTCCTCCAGTGTTGTGGAGACCTTTGTTTTGTGCGTGTTTACTTGTAGTAAAGTAGTCATCCTGATCCTCTGTGTCCTGCGCCTGACTTCACCGCCGCATACACATCACCCCATCTGACAGAATAACACACCAACCATGGAGTCAGCAGGACCAGCGGTGGTAACTGAGTCTCTGGAGGATCGGGTCAGCAGCCAGGACGCCATGATCCGTAGACTTGGCACCGCCATGCAAGATGTGATGGACACTCTGAGCCGATGGGAAAGAGGAGGCTTGCCCACACCTCCTCCTACTCTACCACCACCATCGGTCAGACCCATCGTTCCATCTCCGGAGTCCAGTGGGATTCGGCTCTCGCTCCTGAGGGCATATGATGGCACCGCAGCCGGGTGTCAGGGTTTCCTACTTCAAGTGGAACTCTACCTGGCAACCATTCACCCGGCGCCCTCGGGATACGAGAGCGTTTCCGCCCTCATCTCCTGTCTATCCGGCAAGGCATTGGAGTGGGCCGAATGGAGGGGAATAGACGCCGCCACCATCAGCTATGCGGAGTTCTCCCGCCGCTTCAGGGCGGTTTTCGATCATCCCCCAAAGGGTAAAGCGGCGGGGGAGCGTCTGTTCCACCTCCGACAGGGGAAGAGGAGCGCACAAGAGTTCGCCCTGGACTTCCGGACTCTGGCGGCTAATGCGGGGTGGAATGAGAGGGCCCTCATTGACCACTATCGGTGCAGCCTACGAGAGGACGTTCGCAGAGAGTTGGCCTGCAGGGACACCAACCTAAGCTTCAATCAGTTGGTGGACATGTCGATCCGTCTGGATACCCTGCTGGCTACCCGCGGACGTCCGGAGTTGGGGCCGTCCATTCCATCCCCCAGCACCTCCGAGCCGAGCCCTATGGAGCTCGGGGGTGCTGGTGCTAGAGAGAGGAGGAGAGAGACCCGGAGAGAGGCCGTCCCCTGCACCAACTGTGGCCGTAGAGGACACACTGCGGTTCGGTGCTGGGGAGGGTCTCCTGGGGATCGAGGCAACACGTCACGCACTGATGAGTCATTTCAGGTGAGTAGGCGCCCAACTCACCCAGGGCTCTCTGTTGTCCACTTGTGTATTCAAGTTGAATTTCCCCAGGTTTCCATCTCATTCCCAGCATAAGGCGCTAGTCGATTCAGGCGCAGCTGGGAATTTTATTGATCATAATTTCTGTGTTAAGTTAGGGATTCCCCTCCTACCAGTAGATGTCCTATTCATGCCCTAGATAGCCGTCCTTTGGGATCAGGTTTAATTAGGGAGGTCACGGCGCCACTAAAGATGAAGACGCAGAGGGATCATGAGGAAATCATACAGTTGTATCTGATCGACTCTCCTGCGTTTCCCGTGGTGCTGGGGCTTCCTTGGTTAATCTCTCATGACCCCACCATTTCGTGGCAACAGAGGGCTCTCAGGGTGTGGTCTGATCAGTGTGTCGGGCGGTGTATAGGTGTTTCCGTAGGGGCGACCACGGTGGAAAGTCCGAACCAAATGCCCACACTGCACATTCCTCCTGAGTATGATGATTTGGCACTCGTGTTCAGTAAGAAGAGGGCGACGCGATTGTCACCTCATAGACAGGGGGATTGTGCGATAGACCTCCAGGCAGGTGCTGCACTTCCGCGTAGTCATGTGTATCCTTTGTCTCAAGAGGAGACGGCGGCTATGGAGACATACATCGCCGAGTCTCTGAGACAGGGATACATACGGCCCTCCACTTCTCCTGCGTCCTCGAGTTTCTTTTTTGTGAAGAAGAAGGATGGAGGTTTGCGCCCGTGTATTGATTACCGTAGTCTCAATCAGATCACTGTTAAATACAGTTATCCTCTCCCTCTGATTGCGAGTATGACGGAGTCATTACACGGAGCGCGCTTCTTCACAAAATTGGATCTCAGGAGCGCCTACAACCTGGTGCGCATTAGGGAGGGAGATGAATGGAAAACAGCATTTAGTACCACCTCGGGTCACTATGAGTATCTCGTCATGCCATATGGGTTAATGAATGCTCCTTCAGTCTTCCAATCATTTGTGGATGAGATTTTCCGGGATTTGCATGGGCAGGGTGTAGTGGTGTATATTGACGACATTCTAGTATACTCTGCTACACGAGCCGAGCATGTGGCCCTGGTGCGTCGAGTGTTGGGAAGGCTGTTGGAGCATGACTTGTATGTGAAGGCGGAGAAATGCCTGTTTTTCCAGGAGTCCATCTCCTTCCTGGGCCATCGGTTGTCCGCGTCAGGGGTGGAGATGGAGATTGACCGCGTTTCAGCCGTGCGTAATTGGCAGACTCCTACCACGGTTAAGGAGGTGCAGCGGTTTTTGGGTTTTGCCAATTACTACCGGAGGTTTATCCAGGGTTTTGGACAGGTAGCAGCTCCCATCACCTCCCTGCTAAAGGGGGGCCCGGTGCGTTTGCAGTGGTCGGCTGAGGCGGACAGGGCGTTTAGACAACTGAAGGACCTGTTCACCTCGGTTCCGGTGCTGGCACATCCGGACCCCTCTTTGGCGTTCCAAGTGGAGGTGGACGCATCAGAGGCTGGTATTGGGGCTGTACTGTCTCAACGCTCAGGCACGCCTCCTAAACTCCGGCCCTGTGCTTTTTACTCTAAGAAGCTCAGCCCGGCGGAACGTAATTATGACGTGGGGGACAGGGAGCTGCTAGCTGTGGTCCAAGCCCTAAAGGTGTGGAGGCATTGGCTTGAGGGGGCTCAACACCCTTTTCTCATTCTGACTGACCATCGTAACCTGGAGTACATCCGGGCAGCTAGGAGACTGAACCCTCGTCAGGCTAGGTGGGCCATGTTTCTGGCCCGGTTTGTCTTTAAGCTCACCTATATACCAGAGTCACAGAACGTTAAGGCAGACGCCCTGTCCCGGCGATATGACACAGAGGAGAGGTCCATTGAGCCCACTCCCATACTGTCGGAGTCTTGTCTGGTGGCACCGGTGGTGTGGGAGGTCGATGCGGAGATCGAGCGGGCGTTACGTACCGACCCTACTCCTCCAGAGTGTCCGGAGGGGCGGAAGCACGTGCCGCTCGAGATTCGTGATCGACTAATTTATTGGGCTCATACGTCACCCTCCTCTGGACATCCTGGTATTGGCCGGACAGTGCACTGCCTTAGTGAAAAGTACTGGTGGCCAACATTGACAAAGGACATGAGGGTTTATGTCTCCTCCTGCTCGGTGTGAGCTCAGTGTAAGGCGCCTAGACACCTGCCCAGGGGGAAGTTACAACCCCTACCCGTTCCACAACGGCAGTGGTCTCACCTATCGGTAGACTTTGTCACAGACCTTCCCCCCTCCCAGGGGAATACCACTATTCTGGTCGTTGTGGATCGGTTTTCTAAGGCCTGTCGTCTCATCCCAATGCCGGGTCTCCCTACTGCCCTACAAACTGCTGAGGCCCTGTTTACTCACGTCTTCCGGCACTATGGGGTACCTGAGGATATAGTGTCTGATCGGGGTCCCCAGTTCACCTCTAGAGTCTGGAGGGCGTTTATGGAACGCTTGGGGGTCTTGGTTAGCCTTACCTCGGGTTTCCACCCTGAGAGTAATGGGCAGGTGGAGAGAGTGAACCAGGATGTGGGTAGGTTTCTGAGGTCTTATTGCCAGGACCGGCAGGAGGAGTGGTCGGGGTATATCCCCTGAGCAGAGATTGCCCAGAACTCCCTTCGCCACTCCTCTACGAATCTGACCCCTTTTCAGTGTGTGTTGGGGTATCAGCCGGTTCTGGCACCCTGGCATCAGAGCCAGATCGAGGCTCCTGCGGTGGATGAATGGTTTCGGCGCTCGGAGGAGACATGGAACGCTGCGCATGTCCATCTGCAGCGGGCTATCCATAGGCAGAAGGCGAGCGCCGATCGCCACCGCAGTGAGGGTCCAGTGTATGCACCTGGAGATCGAGTCTGGCTCTCGACTCGAAACCTGCCCCTTCGCCTGCCCTGCCGGAAGCTGGGTCGGCGGTTTGTGGGGCCATTTAAAGTCCTGAGGAGATTGAACGAGGTATGTTACAGGTTACAACTGCCAAATGATTATCGCATTAACCCCTCGTTCCATGTGTCTCTCCTCAGGCCGGTGGTAGCTGGTCCACTCCAGGACAATGAGATACGGGAGACTCCTCCGCCCCCACTGGACATCGAGGGGGCTCCAGCGTACTCAGTCCGGTCCATCGTGGATTCGAGACGTCGGATGGGGGGTCTGCAGTATCTCGTGGAGTGGGAGGGGTACGGTCCGGAGGAACGGTGCTGGGTGCCTAGGAGGGACATCTTAGATCCCTCCCTCCTGACGGAGTTCCACCGGAGTCATCCCACTCGCCCTGCTCCGCGTCCTCCTGGCCGTCCCCGAGGCCGGGGTCGGCGCACGGCTGGAGCCGCGCGTCAAGGGGGGGTACTGTCACGGATTCCGCCGAGGCTGCTCCTCCTCCTTGCTCGGGCAGGCTTCGGCGTTCGTCATCCCCAGAGTACTGGCTACTGCCGATCGATGTTTCGGTGTTTGTCTTGTGTTGTCTAGTTTGTACACCTGTTACTTATTTTGTTTTGATTGTGTAACATATAAGTTCCCTTGTTTTACGTTTGGCCTTTGTGTGTTATTGTCATTTTGTCCTGTTTGATGTTCGGCAATTCTAGTTCGCCTTTTACGCACAGCGCGTGTTACTCAACCAGTGTTGTGGAGACTTTTGTTTTGTGCGTGTTTACTTGAAGTAAAGTAGTCATCTTGATCCTCTGTGTCCTGCGCCTGACTTCACCGCCGCATACACATCACCCCATCTGACAATAAGGCTGTAACTTAACAAAATGTGGAGAAAGTCATGAGGTCTAATTACTTTCCAAATGCACTGTCGGTTAGATAATGCAGGCTATTGAAATCATATGTGGCTTTCTCATGGGGAATTGTAAACATTTCAGCAGCAGACTTGCGACAGCAGTTGCTAGAACAATATATTGACTTGTAGGTTAGATCCGAGCAATAGTCATCCTATATTCACAGGTAGGCTCTCAATTTAGCAGCTTTAGGTTTTACAATGGGGACACAATGAAGACAGGTTCAATAACTGACCTAGCCATTCAGCACCATCCTATGGACAGCAACTCTGCACATTTCAGTCCATCGTTTCTCTCTACACCAGAGCATATCTTGAATACATTGACAGCCATTTCCAAAAAAGCACTGATCCCTGGACAGGGGTATTATTCCAACCTCCACTATACAAAAGATAGGCTAATCAATATTGATGCCTAACAACATTACATCTATAGGATATGAAATGACAAAGAGAATGTACCTATGTAAAACGAATTAATTATTAATTGACAACAACCCATTATACTAAGTTCGGCTATGTGCATCGAAGTAGAGCATTGAATCCTTTAGATGGGACAACGCTTTTAATTTCTACCAGCGATCAAGACTCAGAAGCATTCTGCTGTTCTCCCCGTGCTGAGACTCAGTGACGTTCACTGATGTACCGTATGAGAGGGGAGAGAATACATATGGACGGTTCTGCCAGCACCTGTCAAATCAGTGGCCATCTGCGTCCATCAAACAGAGCCCGTTAGACAACTCTGTAATGTAGGCGATATTGGAGATCATCCCAAATCATCGTCATCCGGGCATCCAACACTTGATGCTCCAAAATGCAAATCGCACCATCGCAATCAATGACAAAGAACGGGTAAAAAAACATGAGCAGGTCAATTTGTCTTCTCTGCAACAACAGCAACGCAAATGGGTTTCATTTTCACCAGACAATAGGCCTACATACAAAGGAGGGGGTGGGTGCATTTGCAGTTTGTTGCAGTTTAAACAGCCAACTTTAGTGCAAATAGATTAAATTACTTGAAGAAAGACAAAGTGTGGATGAATACACGACTTTAGCTGCAACATGCAGAGGAAATAAGCACTGTGAGGTAAATGTCGCAAGCTCCATACCTACCATTCTGCAGTCTGTCACGGCGCTCTGAGCTTTGCGTGTGCTCTCGGTGCTCTCCCTCCTCTCCGGATCTCGGTAGGGAGCCTTGCCGATCTGGAAGATGTTCCCTGCGGATCTGGGGCGGTTCTTGCGCCCATTCGGTGCAGAACTCATGCATACACATCCAGTAATAAAACAGCTCTAATACTGAACGTTAAACCCCACCACCACCTATATTCGCCGATATCCTGTTCTCTCTTTCGTCTGTGGGCTAGGCTATTTTGGTGTAGAGACAGTTATCTGTGGTTTATTACTGCTCTCTCTCTCTCTCTCTCTCTCTCTCTCTCTCTCTCTCTCTACCTCTACCTCCCCCCTCTCTCTCTCTACCTCTCTCTACCTCTCTCTACTGTCTAAGAAAAAGCAGATATTTTTCTCCCTACCTCTCTCTACTGTCTAAGAAAAAGCTGATATTTTTGCAGGCAGCCCTCAGAGCGCAGAAGTACCGGATGAGCGCTCGCGACTCCTCTCCCCATTGCCTCGACTGCAAAGGGGGCGCGAGTCACCTTCACTACAGCTGATGGTATACAGTAACGGTAGCCTATAAACACACCCGACCCGGGATCCAGCTAGCTGAGATGTCCTTCCTAGCGCACCGCAGCGGTGATGTCGGTGGAAAGCAATCGCATTTACTGTCATTCACCAGATACAACCATTTCTTATAATTGCGCGTTTCCATTAAGCACTAATAAGACGGATTGAGGATGGTATTCAGCAATGTATGCAAACACTCTCTTTTGGAAACGCAAAAACGTCGCCAAACGTCTAAATAAAAAAAGCAATGTCACTTAATACAATTCTAACACTTGCTTCATCACTAACCTACTGGAAACAGACAGGAAAGCTATTCATGGTGCCGATTTTTCTTCGAGTTTCTCCAGAGTGTATCTAACCTTGCCTTGGTGAGATGAGACGAGAGGAACAGTTGCTACAGGCCTGACGTGGCTGGCAACACTGCACACCCATAGGACAGGAATACTAACTAATAGGACCCAGCAAACCAGACTCCCTGACATAGGCTAGCCTATAGGCTCGGGTGAAACGTGTATTCTCATTAGGCTCTTGTGAAATGTGTTTTCTCATTAAATAGCCTAGGCATAACCTAGTCTAGGCCTAACATGGACATTAGTTACAATATTAAACAATTAACTGTAGGCCAATTTGAAAAAAGTTATTCAAGGTATGCCTATTAGTCTAAGTCTGGTTCATCCCAGTTTATAGGCTTAACCAAAATTAAAAGAAATTTACGTTTTGTAGGCCTAATGAATTAACGCTAGTTTGGTCAAATATCAGTTGTGGTATTTTTTTGGTATTTTATTAGGATCCCCATTAGCTGTTGCAAAAGCAGCAGCTACTCTTCCTAGGTTCCACACAAAACATGAAACATGACATAAAACAGAACATTAATAGACAAGAACAGCTCAAGGACAGAACTACATACATTAAAACAGGATATCGAGATGACGTCTGCACCTTTATGTGTCGACCTACACTAGATTCAATTCAATGTCCAAAGTGCATTGCTACAACACCGCTTGCACCTGGAAGCTTACATGGAGCTGTCCAGGTGCTGATATCCCACGCGCAGTGTTTTGCGTAGGCTAATTAGTCTGTTTCTAATTTATTATGTAACATAATTAAACTAATTAAAACAAGAGCCACAATAGCCTAGATGTTTGTTATTTTGTAATATTTGATTACCTAGGCCTGCCGGTCTAAATGGTAGAAATGCGTTGGTTGTTCATTGCGTCTCGTGCGCTCCTCTTCAGGGTGCGTGACCATTTATCTCCAAGGAGACAAATTCAAGTTAACAACATATAGTTGGCTCTAGTGCGTCATCTGCGCAAAAAGGCAAACGACAGAGCAGCAAGTTCTGCAACAATCACCAGCAGTAGCCTAATAAAAATGGATGACAATATCTCAAGTTTGGAAACAGATGTACCTTGTAACAAACCAGAAGTAGTTCTCACTATTTTACACTTTAATGATGCGTACGAAATAGAAGCAAGACCAGAAGAACCGGTTGGAGGAGCCGCAAGGTAAAGGTTAGCTAACGCTAGCTACAGCTAACGTTAGCTAGTGAGCCTTGAAAGGACATTTAGGCCTAACTAACTTTAACGTCAGTTGGCTAGATCCAGTCTGGGTGAAACTTCACTTTGTCTAGCGTTGGGAAATCTAGCTAGCCTTTGTAAACATTAGAATTTCATGAAACTAAATGTTAGCTATGGTTTTCTCCCCCAGGTTTGCCACTGCTCTAAAAGTATTCCAGTCGCTGAATCCTTTGGTCGTTTTCAGTGGTGACTGTCTGAGCCCTTCCTTGCTAAGCACAGTCACAAAGGGAAAGCATATGGTAGATGTTCTAAATAAATTAGGAGTCCACTGTGCCGTGTATGGTAAGTGCTTCTCTCCAACCATGCATTACTACTTAATTGTACACAAAAATAATCCAGAGAGGATCCCTTTCTCGAAGTTCATTACACAGAGCGCGCGCTCTCTCTCTCTCTCTCTCTCTCTCTCTCTCTCTCTCTCTCTCTCTCTCACACACACACACACACACACACACACACACACATACACATACACAGATTCCTCAAAACGAATAAGGGCTCAGTTCAATCCGCATCGTGGTAGTTCAGCTTTACAGGGTGATTGAAATTTAAAGGCTATGTTCCCGTTTTACCGGAGACTGTATTCAAGGTAAACGATGTATACGTGTTGCCTCAATATTATGTTGCCTCAATCGGAAATTACCTTTACATTTCTATCGTGGAATCTGTAACGCTTCAGCTTTACAGATTGAATAGAGCCCTAAATGTTGTTTCATTGTCTTTATCTAAGGCAATCATGAGTTTGACTTCGGTGTGGACCTCTTGGAAGAACAGACTAAAAGTATGACCTTCCCATGGTTCCTTAGCAATGTGCATGACAGGTCAGTTTCACCTAGCAATACTAGGCTATATGCCAGTGGGTTAACACACTTATGAGCACAATACCTCACAATTGTCAATAAATCTGCAGTTGTAACTAAAGGGCTATTGGTTGACAGGACAATGAGAAGCAACATACAGTATTTCTGTTGAGTGGTCTATGTTGTTTTACTTCCAGTGTTTCATTTTAATGTAAACAGACAACAATTGTTCACTCAAAGGTTCACTAGTGAAACGCTGGGCCATGGCTTGGTCAGCAGCATCCTGGAGTGGAACGGCCTGAAGATCGGTATCATGGGCCTGGTAGAGGAGGACTGGCTGGATACCCTGAGCACTGTGGACAAGAACAACATCAACTATATAGACTATGTGGAGACAGCAGATCGGCTGTCTGCTGAGCTGAGGGACAAAGGGGCTGACCTGGTCATCGCACTCACACACATGAGGTGGCGTAATGACATCAGGCTAGCATCCGAGTCCAACGGTGTGGATCTCATCCTGGGAGGACATGACCATGAGTACGGGGTTCTGGAGGTCAGTGGGATTCTGATCGTGAAGAGCGGCTCAGAGTTCAGGTACCTTTCCAAGATTGATGTTGTGAAGGACCAGGATGGGACTTTCAAGTACAGCTGTGAAAAGATAGCCACAATGAAAGACCTTGAGGAAGATGCAGAAATCCAGCAGATTGTGAAAGGATACACTGATAATATGCAGGTGAGTTTCAGTTGTTGCAGCTTAATTAGCTTACAGTAGTCTGTTTCTGTGTTAGTAGCCTTCCCATATGCCACTTAGCTGACGTTTTATGAATTTATGTCACTCTGTCTCAGCACATGCTTGGAGAGGTCCTGTGCCACACAGACGTGGCCTTGGATGGACGCTACGCCACCGTGAGACGAGCAGAGTGCAACCTGGGTAATCTGGTCACCAATGCCATGCTGGAGGCCACTCATGCTGAGGTGGCATTTTTAAACTCAGGTTATTACACCTTTCATTTTCTTTATGTTTCAGTCACAGGCATAGTTTTGGCTTAAAATAAATATTACCTCCATATTATATTTTCATAAAAACATTTTTACAGTGCAGACTTGTTGAATACAGAAAGAGTTTGGCACCCAGGTTAGAAACAAGCTATCAATCTACAGATGTAGGATCTTCATTTGATCACTCTTTTGTTACTGAGAATTTTCCTGCACAGCAGGAAATGCAAACTTCTAGTGTATTTGAGGTTTAAAAAGGCTTCTAAAGTTTGTAATTTCCTTTTAAAATGTCAGATTTGATTTGCCCTAACAAAAAATTTACCAACCGCTACAAGAAAATGTCCATTAATTATAATCCACATAATAATTCACATTTCCTGTTGCTGCAGGATTATTTTCCTGCTGTAGCAAACTGGCTCAAATTAAGATCCTACATCTGTATGAATGAAACTGTTAAACTACAGTATGACTCTGCCCCTGTATAGGTACTCTGCGTTCTGACCGCTTACACCCGGTGGGCCCCCTGACCATGCATGACCTGCTGCAGATCCTGCCCATAAATGACCCAGTGCTGGTGGTGGAGGCCACAGGGCAGCAGCTCTATGAGGGCCTGGAGAATGGAGTCCGCAACTACCCTGCTCTGGATGGAAGGTAGTGCACTGGAACACAATGGAAAGACACCAAAGCACATCATGAATGAACTGGTTTTATTGTAGTTGGTACTTTATTCTCACAGACAAAGCAATAACAAGGGTTTTTGACACATATTGCATTTTTCAGATTTCCCCAGGTTTCTGGGATCCAGTTTGGCTTTGATCCCAATGGAAAACCTGGCCACAGAGTCATCGCTGAGACTGTGAAGGTTCAAGGCAAGAGTCTGGATAGAGACAGAAAGTATGTGGTGGCCATGAAAGAATTCTTAACAAAGGTATGGTATATTCTTCTGCTTCATATTAGCACACTCAGCCACAGCCACTGGAATAGCAGTCTAGACACTCCCTATGCTAGCAGGCTAATAAAAATGTAGAAAAAATTAGTCTATTAGTTAGCGGCGGAAGATGCAGTGGTTTTAAGTGGACAGGTAAAACTGTCTCCTCACAGCAGTTTAGCAAGCAGCCATTTGGCTTCAGGGCAATGGAAACATTGACAATAGTCTCCTTTATATCCTCTCGTTTTGTCCTCAGGGCAAAGATGGCTACACCATGTTCAGTGGCTGTCCTCATAGGAACGACATAGAGAATGCTCAGATCCTGTCTACCGTCCTTATCAACCACTTTGAGTCTGGCCAGATCTTCAGAGGCATGAAGAGGTGCAAGTCTGGCCACAGGATGGGCCTTATCAAGGTGTCCAGCAGCCCCTCTGTGTCTGGTGAGCACAGCTGCTTCATTCATTCATAACACTCACCTCCAAGAGCTGACTAATATCCAATCTGTCCTGTTTTTCATTGTTGTGTTGATCACATCTGTGATTGAGAGCTAACCTGGAGTGTGTATTGATGGTATTTCTGCAGCCATTGAGAGATCCAAGAGTGAGAATCTGGAGGGAGAGGTGAGAGTGGCTGTGGTGCCCGGAGTGGAGGGCAGGATATTCCATGTCCACCCTGAGGGCCATTCAGAAACAGAAAGCTAACAGTGGGCAGGGCTCTTCCTCATCTGAGAATACCACAGAGCAACTAAGCCAGGACTCCATAGTCACTGTGTGAGCCAGGGGACATTACATCAAGTATTTCGCATCTCTCATCTGCTGCTTGCTTTTTATCAGCCTCATAAACAAGGCGGACTGTCAATAAACACTTGGACAGCAACATGAGATGAAAGTAATTAATTGTATTACTTCCAGGAACAAACACTAATTGTTTTGACTTGAAGTTGTAAATGCAATTCATTGACATTGCATTCAAAATTACTCAAAATAATTTCAGTCAATAAATGTGAATATCGAAAACAAATATATTACCAAAAATGTATTTACACTACCGTTCAAAAGTTTGGGGTCACTTGTTTTAGAAAAAAAAGCAATTTTCTTGTCCATTAAAATAACATCAAATTGATCAGAAATACAGTGTAGACATTGTTAATGTTGTAAATGGCTATTGTAGCTGGAAACGTCTGATTTTTAATGGAATATCTACATAGGCGTACAGAGGCCCATTATCAGCAACCATCAGTCCTGTGTTCCAATGGCACGTTGTGTTTGCTAATACAAGTTTATCATTTTAAAAGGCTAATTGATCATTAGAAAACCCTTTTGCAATTATGTTAGCACAGCTGAAAACTGTTGTGCTGATTAAAGAAGCAATACAACTGGCCTTCTTGAGACTAGTTGAGTATCTGGAGCATCAGCAATTGTGGGTTCGATTACAGGCTCAAAATGGCCAGAAACAAATAACTTTCTTCTGAAACTCGTCAGTCTATGCTTGTTCTGAGAAATGAAGGCTATTCCATGCGAGAAATTGCCAAGAAACTGAAGATCTCGTACAACGCTGTGTACTACTCCCTTCACAGAACAGCGCAAACTGGCTCTAGCCAGAATAGAAAGAGGATTGGGAGGCCCCGGTGCACAACTGAGCAAGAGGACAAATACATTAGAGTGTCTAGTTTGAGAAAAAGACACCTCACAGGTCCTCAACTGGCAGCTTCATTAAATAGTACCCACAAAACCCCAGTCTCAACGTCAACAGTGAAGAGGCGACTCCGGGATGCTGACCTTCTAGGCAGTTGCAAAGAAAAAGCCATATCTCAGACTGCCCACCTTAATCTTTTCTTTATATTGGCCAGTCTGAGATATGGCTTTTTCTTTGCAACTCTGCCTAGGTCAGCATCCCAGAGTCGCCTCTTGATGGTGGTGGTGGTGGTGTATCAGTATTTGAATGGAGGGTGACAACATTCCAGTAAAAAAGTCAGTATACCGATCTACATTTTTTTATTCAAAACAGTGAAAAGACCCAAGTCACAGAGTCCCTAAAGATAAACAATATGACCAAAACATCCCCAAACAGAATAGGCCATATAATAGTCAAAATGAACATCAATTACAGCAGGGTTCTTTCAACAGTAGAAGCAGGGAATCACTGATTTTGCACCCAACACTCTTGTGTGTGATGTTGTCAAGATAATGTGCTATGAAGAACATTGGCCTTGCACGTTGACTGAGACTCATTAAAAAGGAAAACATCCAGTCGGATTGTTTCAACACAAAAACAAAGTGGTGCATTTCTTCAAGTAATTTCCTTTTTACTGTAAGGAATTGTACAAATCAATTGTACAATACTCTTGTTACCCAATACTCTAATAGCACAATTGCTGATTTCAAGAAATGGCATTGTGAATACTTTGAATTGCAAAGACTACATACACAAGGAGTGCTCTGATGCCAGAAAGAAACAGATAAAAAATTATACAATAACCATGAGAGGCATTTAGAGCTGAAGAGAATGAATTGGATCCACAATTCACTTCAAAGACACACTGCTGAGAAACCCATTTTTTAAACGAGTAGTAGAGGAAAAGCCGAAAAATGAAAATAAAATAACATTACTTGTATGTAACTGTTTTCTGTATATATCAGTAAAACAAACCATTCGAAATTATTGATCAGAGTTATACTTCTGGCAGGAGTGAAGGTGGCTTACAAATTGCTATAAGACCTTGGGACCTGGGGACTATAAGGTTCTATCTAGCTGCGCAAAGCATGGTTCTGAGATATTGAGCATTAAAGTTTTCACATCCAATATCTTAGCAATGTTTTATAGAGAATTTTTCTTTCATAACCCATTAAGGTCCTCACCGTGAAGGTACCTAAAGTGCAGAGTATCAAAATCCTAAGACATTTGTCAATCTTTTTTTTTAGGGGGTTGCAATCGCAGATAGAACCTTATGGCTCTGAAATGTCAATCTGGGTTCAGCCATAAGGTTCTATCTGGCACAGAATGCTAAAATTATTTAAAATTTAAATAGAAAAGTACAGACATTTAATGATTAAATAAAGAAAATACCCTTCTTTCTAATGATATCATCAAAAATATTAATTAATGTTCATCATGCATTTGTTAAAGTGATCGTTCCCTAAAACACAGACAAATACACTGTATCCTATGAATAACTAGCAACATTGTTAAAGTTTAGCTCTGGATGAGTAAACTGATATAGTTTTCTGGTCTCTGACACCCAAAGTCAGTAAACTACTTTTTAGATATCAATAAAATGTAGTAAGTTTGCAATTTTTGTGAAATACCCCTTCCATGGAGGTTTTCATATTGATATAGAACAAGACAAAAACAGCAATGCCTCTCCTAAGGGCCTTAATTAAATATGCTCTAAGGCACCTGTATTTATTTGATTTTGCCATAAAGAGCTTACATTATGGCCATTCTTCTGAATAAGTGGTGAAACAAAATCAAAGTAATTTAAAAAGAGGACCAGAACCTATGATATGAATAATCAAGGACTTGGGACTATAAGGGTCTATCTGCAAAATGTATAGTTTTGAGATAATGAGTATTTTTCAAGTCCCAGATCTCAGAACTGTTTTGTGATTTCTTCCTCTTTCATGTGGTCCTCTGTAGCTCAATTGGTAGAGCATGGCGCTTGTAACGCCAGGGTAGTGGGTTCGATCCCCGGGACCACCCATACGTAAAAATGTATGCACACATGACTGTAAGTCGCTTTGGATAAAAGCGTCTGCTAAATGGCATATTATATTATTATTATGACTCAATAAGTATATCATCTTTCAAATAATTATGTTTGATTGACAACCCGGTATTGTGTGACTGGATTGCAGATATAATTTTATAGCACCAAGTTAAACGGTGTTTGCGCAGATAGAAGTTTCAGATTTTTTATTTATTTCATCGTAAAAAAAATTTTTTTTTTAAATCTGACATATCTCACATGTAAAGGACCACCTAAAGAGCAACTCTATGGTCCCAAGTTCACAAAATTGCCAAACTTAGAATCAATCCAGGTACCTTTTTGTTGTTCCTTGTTTCCATTAGACTTGTAACGGTGCCTTAGTGATATTATAGGTTGACTGTGTAGAGATCATGTAATTCTCCAATGCCCCCCATATGGTACCCTGTTTCCTCAATTCAATAGGGATCAGCTGGAACACTGTTGGTTGTATTCTACCAAGCACATCTCCAATTTGTCTGTAACTTACTCTGCCTCGTTTCCTCCATCCATCCATCCATCCATCCATCCATCCATCCATCCATCCATCCATCCATCCTTCCATCCATCCATCTACCCATCTATACATCTGTCTTTAGAAGGAAGGGAAGAAGAAGTAGCAGAGAAAGCAGAAGATGATGAAGCCGATGATCCAGTTGACAGAGTAGATATAGATAATGACCATGTCCATGTCGAAGTGCCAGCCGCGAGAATTGTCCTCAAAGTCCATGGCGTCTAGACGGTACCCCCCGTGGGGAAACTGACGCCTGGCTATCGGACTAGCTTGCCTATGGAAACCTGGAGAGGGGTTGGAATGACGGAAAAATCTGGTTATTCCAACTTTTCTTCTGCATCTACATTAATCTTGGAATAGAAAGTGTACAGTAAGTAATAAATAATAATTCTGTAATCATAACATAATGATAATAAACAAATAAATACATTACCATTTGGTCATCTTATTTCTAAAAAGTAGAACCAATAAGCTTGCTTAATCAAGTCTAAACAGTAGAGTCAATAACACTCACCTCCAAAAATACGGAAAAGTTTCCTGCAGCTTGGGAGCGGCCATTTTGCACAACTTGCCTTCTGGAAAGTCTGTTTCCGGGAGAGGTATTCCTTTGGGAAGAACGTCCGTGCTGTGTGGTTCAACTCTGCAACACAGACAAAAAACAATAAAAGGCTCTTCTTTGGTTTACTATCTCATTCTCTTAGTATCAAACGCCATCACTGTTTATCTCTAACTATTTGGGTAGATTCTGGTAGATTTTCTATATTTTCTAATAGTTAAATGTTTGCACTTTTGTATTCATGTGTGATACATACAGGAATCAGCATTTTTGAAGATAAAATAAGTGTAGGATTTGAAGTGGTTCAAGGCACTGTCTGTCGCTGTCTCTCCTCTCAGACAACTACTGTTGTTGCTAGTGTGACCTTGGCTTGGATAATCAGCAGTATAATCCCATTTAAAACCACACTGTCCAAATATTAAGTACCCTTAATGGGTATGAGGTTCTCACGTTACACTTAGCACACAAATCACCTGCAATCAATCACCTTACACTATGTATCTGCAATTAGTGTGCAACAAGTTTATAGTTTCTACGTGTTACCCATGTGAACGTAGCTAGGCTACATAAGCTTTGCTGTGGCAGGTTTGAAACCTGTCCTTCTTCAGTCTACAGCCCTCCATCGTATTCATGTGTTGAAATAGAAGGTTGATTCTGTTGTATTTCCTGGCCAGTGCTGAACCCAAGGTGTGTAACATTCCCTAGAGGAACTGCAGGATCAAACACACAGATAGTTGCGCCTCAGTAATGCACCATGTCCAGATAAGTATGTTTGTCTTGATCTGTTAATGATCTAAACAGCATGAATCGTCATAAATGCAGTACAGCTGTTCCTTTTGTGGACGATGATAACTGTGGCGTGTCTTCAAGTAAAGTAGTATGTTCCAATTCTCTACAACAATTTCCTTTCCTTACTTTTGTCCCTTTGTGACCACTGATCGGTGGAAGTACTGGATGGTTCCTAGCCTTGGTACCAGTCTGTTTAGCTATTCCACTCCTTGTACTCCATGTCATATGCTTCTTTGGCTAAACAGACTGGTACCCATTATAGATGGTTCCACCATGGCTCTTCCAACTGCAGTCTTTTATAGAGCAGTGGTCATGAGAGAGACAAGGAGAAAAGGGTTTGGATACTGTGCTCACCCTTCTGGAAGAAGACGTGAGTGATGGTGGTCCTGCAGAGTGGGCAGGGGGTGTTGGTTGGGCTGTTCTTGGCCAGGGTACGGAGGCAGGGCTCACAGAAGATGTGGTTACAGGGGTGGCACATGTAGGGGCTGAAGTAAACGTCCAGACAGACAGCGCAGATGAAGCCCTCTCTGTCCCCAGCACTCACATCCTCCTCCTCACTGCTGCTCGATGGGTTCCCTGTCGAACTCTGCAGAGACACAGAACATGACAACAGGGTTGCATAGCTTTTTCAATATAACAGGAAAAAAACTGACAGATCAGTTGGGTTTCCTGTGGAAGTCTAGGACAGAAAATGGCAGAACGACACAACCTATTCAAGGTTGTAAGGTCTCATGACCATAATATTAAAATACATGCTGATGAGTTGTACTCCTGAAGGCAGAGAGAGACACCCAGCCATGTAAATATAACCCATATAACCTTTGAACTCTTTATGAATCTCAAATGAGGCTTTGACAGCCGCTCGTCAAACAGACTGCGCATGATTTCAAGTGACTGTGTCAGCTGGCAGTAGCCATTTGTGAGAATGTGTTCTTTTCCCCCTGATATTCTATTCCATGAATCTATATTTGAGGTGTGGGCAGGTGTACCAGTGCAGGCCTGATGAAGGGAGATGAGTTGAGAGTTTGGTAGATATGAAATAAAATGGTGAAATTAGGTAACCGGTGAAGTAAGCCACTGTTTGTAATGATGCTAGGCCTATATAATCTTCCAATATATTATTCTGACAAATGTCAGTTAGTCAAGAATACAAGTGTATACAGTAGCATAGTGATGAATCAAAGCTTTTATAGAGAGCTGCTTTGCTCCAGTCATTAAAAGCGAAGACAGTCTGAGTCCAATAAGCGTGTTAAATTATTAACTTGGAGATGGGTTTGCATTAGCAGGTACTCTAAATCTAGGAAAAGTCTGACATCCCACTAAGCCATTTATAAGCCTGGCACCTAATTTAGGTTTGAACTGGGGCAGTAGAAACAACTATTTTGTTGGAGGGAAAGCTAAGATGTGAGAAATTTGGTAGAAAATAGGAAGCAGTCAGCTCAGTTCTTCAGACACTCTAGGGCAGGGGTTCCCAAACTTTTTCACTCAGGCCCCCCTTCCAGCATTGGGGAACATCCCTCGCCCTGACCCCCCCCCCCCCCCCCCCCCACATCCCTCTTGTTGGCGGAGAGAAAATGTTGCAGGTTAAAATATGATTTCCTTAAATTCTACACATTTTGTTATGGAGTGCAGAGAAAACGTTGCTGTTTTAAAGCTAATTGTCTTACACTTCTATACATTTTGCCGTGTCTAATGTTAATTCATGTGATATTTGAATGACTCAAACATTACAACAAAATCTATGGGATAAAAAAACCTAGCTAAAATGGGCTAGTTGAGTTGATCTGGACATTTCTGACAAGTTATAAATAGCTCTCTATGGTATCCAATGACTGATTTAACAAGAGGAAAACTAAAGATTGCACCTTGTGTATTCTACTATCACAACTTTCAAGAGAAAGTTGAAAGCAGGACTGAGTTCCTCCCCCCAAAAATGCTCTAGGGGACCATCACAAGACACTGATAAAAACGGATTAATACACACCTCAAGCACATTGTATTTGTTTTTAAATGTATCTATTCTACCTTATTGTTACCAGGAAGTCGCTTGCTTTTTGAAAGACAGACAGAGAGAGAGAGAGAGAGAGAGAGAGTGAGAGAGAGAGCGAGAGAGATCCACAGTCGACTCACTCCCCCCTCATATCAGGGACAAAATACGGACTCTGGATCACCGCCTGGGGGTATCTTCATCCTACTCCCCCTCAGGGCTCCCATCCCTCCCCTTCTATCCTGGGGTTAGGTATATGCATGTAGCCTACAAGAGCCTGGAGCCTGGAGCCCCTGGAGTTGTTTGAACATTGCTGCGGGGACCTGCTCCCATTCAGCCACAAGAGCATTAGTGAGGTCGGGCACTGATGTTGGGCCATTAGGCCTGGCTCGCTGTCGGCGTTCCAATTCATCCCAAAAGTGTTTGATGGGGTTGAGGTCAGGGCTCTGTGCAGGTCAACATGTTTTTCCACACCGATCTTGGCAAATCATTTATGTATGGACCTCGCTTTGTGCACGGGGGCATTGTCATGCTGAAACAGGAAAGTGCCTTCCCCAAACTGTTGCCACAAAGTTGGAAGCACAGAATCGTCTAGAATGTCATTGTATGCTATAGCGTTAAGATTTCCCTTCACTGGAACTAAAGGGCCTAGCCCAGACCATGAACAACAGCCCCAGACCATTATTCCTCCTCCACCAAACTTTACACTTGGCACAATGCATTGTGGCAGGTTGCGTTCTCCTGGCGTCAGCCAAACTCAGATTTGTGCGTCGGACTGCCAGATGGTGAAGCGTGATTCATCACTTCAGAGAACGCGTTTCCATTGCTCCAGAGTCCAATGGCGGCGAGCTTTACACCACTCCAGCCGATGCTTGGCATTGCACATGGTGATATTAGGCTTGTGTGCAGCTGCTCAGCCATGGAAACCCATTCATGAAGCTCCCGACGAACAGTTCTTGTGCTGACGTTGTTTCCAGAGGCAGTTTGGAACTCGGTAGTGAGTGTTGCAACCAAGGACAGACTATTTTTACGCGCTACGCGCTTCAGCACTCGGCGGTCCCGTTCTGTGAGCTCGTGTGGCCTACCACTTTGTGGCTGAGCCGTTGTTGCTCCTAGCTGTTTCCACTTCACAATAACAGCACTGACAGTTGACTGGGGCAGCTCTAGCAGGGCAGACATTTGACAGACTGACAGGTGGCATCCTAGGACGGTGCCACGTTGAAAGTCAATGAGCTCTTCAGTAAGGCCATTCTACTGCCAATGTTTGTCTATGGAGATTGCATGGCTGTGTGCTCAATTTTATACACCTGTCAGCAACGGGTGTGGCTGAAATAGCCAAATCCACTAATTTGAAGGGGTGTCCACATACTTTTGTATATATAGTGTATAACGATAGTGGCCACAACTACGGTGTGTTTTTAATTCAGTGTTCATAAATCCTGACCCTGTGAACCCACGGTGTATACAGGATTTTGATTTACCCTAGTACTATATTTTGCCTTGGAGTATTATCCAACTCCTCAGTGCAAAAGTGTAATTTCCACTCACAGCATTCAAACTGGCATCTTCAAGTAGTAATCTAGCCAACTCCATAACTCCATCCATAGCAAGTTATTCATAACAATGCACAAAACCAATCTCAGCTAGGAGAACATTGTATGTGTAATGTGTATGGCAGCTTCTACATATACTATTTGCCATCATGCCCACAGAGAATGATGTCAGAAACAACACAACAGCCAGTCACAATCATTCCAGTCCAGCAACGTGACTATGGATCTGCACCGGCCAATCCAACTGGAATCTGTTCTTTTGTTTGGGTGGTTTTGAAGGGCTCTCTGCCCAAGCATCATCATGCAGCCAATTCAGATATAACCCCACTTTAACTGCACAGACAATGGCTATTGAGTCAAGCTGGCCGCTGATGGGGCTTGTTTAGAGTCAGCGGGACACCCACACTCACATACACGCGCACACACACACAGGCCACATGCACACGCACATGCACAGTGGAGGCTCCTGAGGGGAGGACGGCTCATAATAATGTCTGGAACGGAGCGAATGGAATGGCATCAAACAAATGGAACCCATGTATTAGATGCCATTCCGCTCCAGCCACTACCACGAGCCCGTCCCCCCCAATGAAGGTGCCACCAACCTCCTGTGATGCAGACACATGCAGGCAGGCAGGCACACACATCCCATGACATTGATGGGCCTGTTGAGAGTCAGTAAATAAGCCCACACAGTTACTGAACATGTAATGCAGAGAGAGAGAGAGAGGTGAGGGAACAATTCACTTTTGTTCCACAGTATAGTACATGGCTGCCTCGTTTTTGTCAATAAATGCCTCATTCACTTTGGGTAAAATAAACTTCATGTGCCTACACCACCCGCTTTTGCCTGCATACAACAAAGCTCCGTCCTTGCCATGTCTTGTTTGGCACAGGGACATGTTGGCTAAAGAAACAAACTGGAACCTCGTCTATTGAGACACATTGGCTCTCTGCTACAGAGCTGAACTATTTACATATGATATACGCCAGTATGCAAATGCTACAGTGTGCAGAAACATGCATGTCGTCACACACAGCGCACTGCTTGGTATTTGTGTTAATGACACACTGTTGTTGTAGAGCTTAAGGTTTTTATACAACAACCCAATGTCCTGAATTGTTCATGGGTTCGTAGCCCTTTCCTTCAGGTAAATGAAAGGAAAAGATACACACAGCCGATTGGGCATACCATGTCATTTCAACATGGAGAACTGGGAAACATTTGGTACATACGTTGATCACTGATATTCCAACTAATTCCCAATGTATTGTCACTATGCTTTCAACCATCTAAAAACTCAACCAAATTCCAATGGAAAATCAGTGTCTGATTGTTGGTTTAGTTGTCACCTACAGTAAATGTGTTATCACTGTGCTTTCAACCATTTAAAATTACAGCAAAGTTCAAATGGGAATACAACGTTAGATATTTAGTTTATTTATACAACAACTTAATGTCTTATCGCTGTGCGTCATCTAATAGCACAACAAAATGACCTGGATTGGATTAAAGTACATGGTGCAAGTGATCAATGCCGTTTGAGATTCTGTGCAGATTATTATAGCAATTGTGAGGATTTCCACAGACCTGCTACCCTGAACATGCACACTTTCTATGATTACATAAGAATATTTATTGTTACAGTAACCTCAAAATGTAGCCATGGATGTGTTACTCGTTTTAAGGTTGAATTAATACTGTTACATTAGTTTGCAAGATAGCCTTAACATTAAGCAATTTACTGTCTTACAAAAGTAATATTGAATTGTATTTGGTTGACAACACAACCTAATATCAACATTTAATGGAGATGTATCTACTGCTTGGATTGTTCGATCTGAGCCACTGGCTTAATCATATTCTTTAATTTCTTTAACCTTTATTTTTGGTTGAGATGGAGATGTGAATCCAACATATAATTTGTTAACTTGTCGCAAATTAATAGACTATTTACCGTATTGCAAAAGTGATATTGAATTGCGTTTGGTTGTCAACGCAACCAAACATCAACATTTGAAGGAGATGTTTCTTCTGCTTGGACATCTGTGCCACTGACTCTGGCTTTAATTCCAGTTTGTCTAAAAATTTATAAATGATATGTTGGATTCACGTCTACGTTTCAATCACAAATCTAAGTTAAAGAATAGCACTAAATCACGTCAAATCAAACTTTAAATGCACTTTAAATACAGTTTAATTTATCCTATTGTTTAACTTAGATTTTTGGTTGAGATGGAGACGTGAATCCAACATATTTATTATTAACTTGTAGATTACATTGGAACTCAACCAAAACTTGAAACCCTAGGCCTATATGTATTGTCTATTTTTAGTTGAATTCTGGGCTGAATTACTTCTCAAAACTATTCATCCCCCTTGGCGTTTTTCCTACTTTATTGCATTACAACCTGTCATTTAAATTGATTTTTATTTGGATTTCATGAAATGGACATACACAAAATAGTCCAAATTGGTGAAGTGAAATGAAAAAAATAACTTGTTTCAAAAAATTCTAAAAAATAAATAACGGAAAAGTGGTATGTGCATATGTATTCACACCCGTTGCTATGAAGCCCCTAAATAAGATCTGGTGCAACCAATTACCTTCAGAAGTCACATAATTAGTTAAATAAAATCCACCTGTGTGCAATCTAAGTGTCACATGATCTGTCACATGATCTCAGTATATACACACCTGTTCTGAAAGGCCCCAGAGTCTGCAACACCACTAAGCAAGGGGCACCACCAAGCAAGCGGCACCATGAATACCAAGGAGCTCTCCAAACAGGTCAGGGACAAAGTTGTGGAGAAGTACAGATCAGGGTTGGGTTATCAAAACATATCTGAAACTTTGAACATCCCATGCATGGAGCGCCATTAAATCCATTATAAAAAAATTTAAAGAATATGGCACCACAACAAACCTGCCAAGAGAGGGCCGCCCACCAAAACTCATGGACCAGGCAAGGAGGGCATTAATCAGAGAGGCAACAAAGAGACCAAAGATAAGCTGCAAAGCTCCACAGTGGAGATTGGAGTATCTGTCCATAGGACCACTTTAGCCATACACTCCACTGAGCTGGGCTTTATGGAAGAGTGGCCAGAAAAAAGCCATTGCTTAAAGAAAAAAATAAGCAAACACGTTTGGTGTTCGCCAAAAGCCACGTGGGAGACTCCCCAAACATATGGAAGAAGGTACTCTGGTCAGATGAGACTAAAATTGAGCTTTTTGGCCATCAAGGATTACGGACATTCTTGAGGGAAACCTGTTTCAGTCTTCCAGAGATTTGAGACTGGGACGGAGGTTCACCTTCTAGCAGGACAATGACCCTAAGCATACTGCTAAAGCAACACTTGAGTGGTTTAAGGGGAAACATGTAAATGTCTTGGAATGGCCTAGACAAAGCCCAGACCTCAATCCAATTGAGAATCTGTGGTATGACTTAAAGATTACTGTACACCAGCGGAACCCATCCAACTTGAAGGAGCTGGAGCAGTTTTGCCTTGAAGAATGGGCAAAAATCGCAGTGGCTAGATGTGCCAAGCTTATAGAGACATACCCCAAGAGACTTGCAGCTGTAATTACTGCAAAAGGTGGCTCTACAAAGTATTGACTTCGGGGGGTGGTGCCCCTTGAATAGTTATGCACGCTCAAGTTTTCTGGTTTTTTGTCTTATTTCTTGTTTGTTTCACACACAAAAAATATTTTGCATCTTAAAAGTTTTAGGCATGTTGTGTAAATCAAATGATACAAACCCCCAAAATCCATTTAAATTCCAGGTTGTAAGGCAACAAAATAGGAAAAATGCCAAGGGGGGTGAATACTTTCGCAAGCCACTGTAGGCTCATTGATGATGTATGATTGATAAAGTATGGTTTTGTTTGCTCTGTTGAACCTACCCTTTCGAATGACTTCGATAGCAACAGTGAATCTATTTAGTGGACATTTCTCAACAATCACTCTTATGATAGCACATTGGTTATAGTCAGTGACAAATATCAAAACTCAGCAGGGCTGGGCTTGGTTAATACCCTGGATGAGAAACAAAGGGAACGCTGTAGATAGATCAACTCTCCAGTAGGAGGTGCTGCTCAGACTATCGTTATTTTTCTTATAGTGGATATTACGTTGAAGATCTGACATTGTTTCAAAGGTACAGACTCAACATATTTTATACAAGGTTTGTCTATGTTGAAAATGTGTTACTATGATGACATAATCCTGTGGTTGAAATTCTACACTCAAAACAACATTTTACGTTGATTACTTTTTTCAAATCCAATATATTTTCCACCTAGATTCCACATCACAATACGTTGACAAATTACGTTGAAACAACATTGATTTAACCAGTTTGTGCCCAGTGGGAGTATACTGCTGAGCAGCAATAATCTTGTATTCAAGGGGAAGTTCAGTATTTTATCATTTAATGTTAGATGGTTCTTCACCCTGAAAGTAGACAGCAAATCAAATGCCGTCACTCTCACCTGTCTAGTCTCCTGCAGCTGGCTCTGTCTCCATCTCTCTCTCCTCCTCTGCCTCCTCCTCAGACTCTTCATCCTTTTCCTCTCTCTTTTAGTCATCCTCCTATCCATCGCTGCTGGAGCAGGGGACAAGGGCACAGCCGGAGTCAGGGTCTGAGTCACCACCCCCATCACACCACTACCCCCTTCTCCCTCCTCCTCTTCCTCCTCCTCTTCTTCTCCCTCTTCTTCCTCCTCCTCTTCCTCTTCCAGCTCTAAGCTGCTGTGGGAGAAGAGGCATGTCCGAGTCCTTCTTCTCGGGGACAATCGGCCAATCCCTGACCCTGGCTCTCTAACCGTGTATATGCCACGTCGCATTTCCGTGATGTCCGTCCTTGGCGACAGTCTCCTTGGTGACAGAGTGGAGGTTCTGATTCGGATGGATGGGCGGAGTAAGGCGGGAGAGATGGAGCCGGAGGCTTGGCGTGGAGACCTGAGGGTGGTGCTAGATCGTTGGTAACTGGCGTAGGGGCGTCCAGGTGAGGGTAGTCCTCTCTGCAGTCTCCCCTGACCCTCAGGAGCCTCCATGGTTTGAAGAGGGTTGGCGTTACTGTTTGAAAAGCTTTGTGTCCTGCTGCTCTGGTCCTCTCTGTCCCATATTCTCTCTCTGTCCCTGTCCCTGTTTCTATCCCAGTCACTCGCTTTGTCTCTGTCTTGGTCTCTGGTCTCTCTGTCTCTATCTCTCTCCGTCTCACGGTCTCTATTTCTGTCACCTGCACTCTCTTTATCGCTGTCCCTCTCTCTCGCTCTGTTTCTCTCTTCTGCCGTCCCACGTTCTCTGTCCCTCTCCCTATCACGGTCTCTATTCCTCTCTCCTGCTCTCTCCCTGTCCATCTCTCTGTAGTCCTCACTACGAGCCTTTCTATGTGCTTTTCTCCCAGGCAGTGTCAGCCTTGCTATCTGCTCCACCCCAGCTGAGCGAGCCTCGCTCTCTGGTCCACCTGGATCTACGTACCTTAACCGAGGCCTGACCTCTAGACACAAGGCTTCAGTCATACGCCCCAGCTCACTATCACTGTCTTCTCCACTATCACCACCACCCACATCACCACCAGCAGCAACATCATAAAGACTAGTGGCTCCCACACGCGAGCACATGACCCAGCTCTCTCAGCCCTCACCAGTACACCTGATATACCCCCACCCAGCCTACCCTCTCTTCTAATACATTCACTCCAGATGGCTACCTCTCTCTCTGGTCCTCTCTCCCTTTCACTCTCTCCAGTTGATATCACTCCCTGTCCCTCTCCCTGGTGTAGTCGCTGGTGGTTCTGGATGCTCGGGCCTATAGCTCTCTCAGGGCTGAGGGGAGCGTTCGAGCGCACCGTCGACCCCCAGATGTTCACAGATTTGAGCAGAGCAGAGCCGCCACCTGCCCTACCCTGGTGTCCCCCTGGGACTTTCTGCACTGTTGACAAAGCTATAGCCCCCCTGGTGAGCCCCAGCACAAAATGGGTGCATTCAGTGTCCCAATTGTCCTGCAGGGCCTATAGAAAAATATGCAGCCACACAGCACAACAATGCAGCCATTGAACACAAAAACAGAAGGTGAAATAACCAGAGTTTTTTTTTCAACAAACATGGTCAGCTCTTTCACTTTCTGGTTAATCAGCAGGGTGTGTGTGTGTGTGTGTGTGTGTGTGTGTGTGTGTGTGTGTGTGTGTGTGTGTGTGTGTGTGTGTGTGTGTGTGTGTGTGTGTGTGTGTGTGTGTGTGTGTGTGTGTGTGTGTGTGTGTGTGTGTGTGTGTGTGTGTGTGTGTGTGTGTAGGTTTGTGTCAGTGGAATGTCGCTAAATAGATAAGTACATTAACTTGTGTATTTAAATTGTAATGATTAATGTAAAATACTTTAATTAATGAGTAACTGGTGATGTAATAACTTTTGAGGGGGGAATAATCTATTGATTTAAGAGGCAACATTTCTTTAAATAGCATTTAGTGGGTGATGGGCAGTCAAGGTGTTTGTTTGGGAAACTGAAAATGAAAATTGTAAATATTATTATCATAAATTAGAAGGTGAGATTTGAAATTGTTGTATTTTTGTAGTACATGTAAAAGCAATGAGTGAGAGGCCCATTCATTCTGTGAGAGAATAGCCCAGTTCCTCTGCAACAAATCCTTGACGGTATAAAAGGTGTAGGCTATCAGCGTAGTAGGCCTATCACATGCCACTACTAGCCCGTTGGTGGGAAACAGAATCGCATCATAGAGTAGCGTACACAAAGTCCGCGTGTTGGGTAGGACTTTTATTTTACAGTATAGACATTATGTAGGCCTACTTAACTACACGGTGAAATGATAATTACACAATAATAATTCATGTAGGCCTATTATTACTTGTTTCTATGGGATTTACCACTTGGCCCTCATAAGATCCGTTTGTTTATGAGCATCGTGTAGGTATTTAGCATATCGGCAACAGACAGTGAAGAGGACTACCACAGCGGATACATTACAGGATAGAGAACATTCAAAAGAAAAGCTTGCGTGTTCAGAAGTTGTGAAATGTGCATCTTACCTCAGTATTTATGTTTAAGCAGAACACGGGTATGGAAATCATAAGTAATATAATACGCCAATATAAAACTGTTGAAAAAAATCGAATGTAGGTCTATCATTAGTTTAATAGGCTATTGAGTATGTTTGGAAACATGAACACTCATAGACGGGTGTTTGTTTGTTACACGACCTTGGCTATAGAAGGCATGGGATTTTAAGAAACGCGTGAGCGAGTTCTCTCACTCACTCTCACTCACTCTTTCATCATCAGGGCTTTAGAAACCACACTGAGCTCCAAAGTGCGCAGGCTAGATCTCATTCCTTGCAGCAGATGGCAGCATATTTCTGTTCTGGACTCGTGCATGGAGCTGTCCATGGTCCTTGAAACAACGCGCGGTCCACTAATTTTGAGAACGAGCCTATTTTTTCAATCACATTAAGAATTACATATATTATGAATTAAGTACCATTTATACTTCAATTATTCTATATCACATTGTGAAATGTTAATGTTTTTTCCCTGATAAATCTGTCTTATTTGTATTTTTTTGTCATCTGTTGAAGAGAATGATGACAATGTCCGATGAGATAAAACGCGTTCCCAGCTTGGAATCAATTAAAAAATAAATATCAATCGACTAAAACCAAGTTACTCGTAATGCAGATATAGTTACTCGTAATGCAGAAAACGACTTTAGTTTCTTGCATAATTTCATTAGGCTACGGAGGTAGAAAATAATCGATAGGCTATGAGAAAAGGTTAAAATAAGAAGAGACAAAAAGTCGAAAGGAAACAGAAGAGGAAATAAACCAGGGGAGAAGCTCTGCTCTTTATCTGTCGTCTGCAACCACCGAAACGACACACTGCGAGGGAGAGCAGACCAACAAAACTCCGCGGCGACCTCATGGCAGTCTGACGTACAACTACCGCTGCTGGTATAAATGAATTCACGGCGTCACCAGGCGCAGATGATTTGAAGGACCAGTGAGCGCCCCGGCAGACACACACACACACACACACACACAGCAATTTGCGTCATGCGTCGCCGGAACGAAGGAACAGGCACGGGAACTCCGATGGACCCCGTTAGTACCCACACTGGTTCCAGCACGAGGGACTGACCGTGCCTCCAGATTCCCCGCTTTGGCTCCCCTGTCCTGTCCTACCGGGCGCACCGTGTGTGTCTCGGACCCTGAACAACTATGGATTTTATCAACAACGGTAGTGAAAATAGTAATACGACCACAGCCTTCCCCGACGTTGTGGATGTCATTCCAGAGTGGGGTGACAATGACAAAGCAATGGGGTCTAGAAGTGTGCCCGAGGTGGAGCTGAGTTACCAGGTGGTCACCTCTCTGCTGCTCGGCGCGCTCATCCTCTGTTCCATATTCGGCAATGCGTGCGTGGTCGCGGCCATCGCGCTGGAGAGGTCGCTCCAGAACGTGGCCAACTATCTGATCGGCTCGCTAGCCGTCACTGACCTCATGGTATCAGTTCTGGTACTACCCATGGCGGCCCTCTACCAAGTCCTGAACAAATGGACCCTGGGACAGGAGATATGTGATATTTTCATCTCTCTGGACGTGTTGTGCTGCACGTCGTCCATTTTGCATCTGTGCGCAATTGCCCTGGACAGGTACTGGGCTATCACGGACCCAATAGACTATGTGAACAAACGGACACCCAGACGAGCCGTGCTGCTGATCAGCGTGACTTGGCTGATTGGGTTCTCGATCTCCATCCCACCCATGTTAGGCTGGAGGAAAGCCGAGGACAGGGCGAACCCGGACGCCTGCACCATCAGCCAGGACCCGGGCTACACCATCTACTCCACGTTCGGAGCTTTCTACATCCCGCTTTTCCTCATGCTGGTCCTCTACGGGCGGATATTCAAGGCAGCCAGGTTCCAGGTTTGGAAAACTGTGAAGAAATCGGAAAAGGCAAAAGTGTCGGACAAGTGCTTGGCGGTGTCGCCGGCTATTTCCCACAAGAAGATCAACGTAGAGGCGGGAGGCAAGAACTGGAAACATAGTGTGGAGCCTACATCCAAGTCCCCGTGCGTAAACGGCGCGGTGAAGCACGGGGAGAACTGCGAGTCGTTTGAGATCATAGAAGTTACCAACAATTCTAAGAACCACCTGCCTCTCCCCAACACTCCACAGTCCTCACAAGGGGGTGAGAACAGGAGCGAAAAGAACACTGAGGCTAAGAGGAAAATAGCTCTGGCCAGGGAGCGGAAAACGGTAAAGACGCTCGGTATCATCATGGGGACTTTTATTTTCTGCTGGCTGCCGTTTTTCATCGTGGCGCTGGTCTTGCCTTTCTGTGCGGAGAGCTGTTACATGCCAGAGTGGCTAGGTGCCGTCATCAACTGGTTGGGCTATTCGAACTCTCTCCTAAACCCCATCATTTATGCCTACTTTAACAAAGACATCCAAAGTGCTTTCAAGAAGATCATAAGATGCAAATTCCATAGACCGTGAGCCGTTCATTAGTAAAGTGTTACCGTTTACTTCATTCCAATGATGGAGTTTACGAAACGCAAAAAAGCAACATGTTATTTTCAGGGACTGTCTCTAGCCTACGGTGTGAATTAGAAACAGAATAGCCTATGGGTCATATACAGTGAGACGTGGAGAGAGACATGCAGTATATTTGTAGGCCTTTATGCTGTGTACGCTGCTCCTGTGTAGCATATTCGATGTTGTAGATATCTGCAAGGCATCGTTGTATTCCCATGCAAGACGTGTTATTCAAATACAATGCACATAATTCATGCATTCCATCCATGTGACCTGGTCTCAGAGCATTTCGTATTATTCTGTACGTAATTCCGAGACACTTCATTTAGTATGATATGTTACGTTTCGTATGGTATGTATCCATGAGACACGAAGGTTTCCGTCCTACATCATACCAGCTTTATAGCACTGAAACAATAAAAAACTATCGAAATACTAACTTCTGCGTGTAATGTCCACTCTTTAAGCACAAACATAGAGGAACGTTTTCAATGACAGTTGAAAAAG